ACTCTCCTCCTGGCCGACGTGAGAGAGGAGAGGAGGAGGAGGAGGAGGAGGAAGAGGAGGAGGAGGAGGAGCAGGAGGAGGAGGAGGAGGAGGAGAGGCGAGGACGTAAATAGCTTTGGGAGAGTGCTCCCCGAGGTTCCATGCTTCCAAAATTAGAAACGAAGCGCTGAGATAATGACAGAGAGAGAGAGAGAGAGAGAGAGAGAGAGAGAGAGAGAGAGAGGGAAATGGAAGGGAGGAGGGAGGGAGAGGGAGTGTAATAAAAAATAAAAAAGAGAAGAGAAGAGGAATTGTGAGGAGAGGAGGACGAGTAGGCGAGTTAGAATCCTCCCCAGAAAAACAGCAAGGGACCATACGTTGTCTTCTTATCCCCGGCTTTGAAAAAAGAGGGGGGGGGAGTCGAGCTTTGAGCAGCGACCAGAAACAGCTGCTGATCAGACGGCTAATATTCACTGTCTGAGAGTCAGAGTGTAGAGTGTGTGACGCTCTTTGAGCTGCTGAATGAACGCTGAAGAGAGAGGGAGGGACAGAGAGAGAGAAAGGAGGAGGGCAAAAGTGGATCACTGGGTGGAAAGGAAGTTGGACGGATGAGGAGAAAGTCAACAACGGCTCGTTTCATACCAGAAGCCTCGCGACACACAGAAGGAGGAACACTCCCTCAATGTCCATCCCTCCCTTTTCACCTTCATTCATTCATTTTTTTTTCTCTGTTGACTGTTTTGTGTCTGTTGTTAAAATGATTATGATTTTTTTTTTTTAAAGATTAAAAAGGACACGCAGGGGGGAGAGAAGGGAGGAGAATAGACGCATTTACCAACACAGGAGATGAGGGGGGGCTGTAGCTGAAAATAGCCTGGCAGGGAGGAGGAGGAGCTACAGATAAAAATAGAGACAGAGAGAGAGAAAGAGAGTGAGGGAGGGAGCACTAAGCCTACAGCTCTGGGGTGGGGTGGGGTGGGGCGGTGGGGGAGGCGCTCGGCGCTGTCATGTTCCCGCACCGCAGGACTGTGACCTCTTCCTCCTCTTGATTTTGTGTTGATGCTAGCTAGTCCTGTACGGTGAGATGCAACAGCCATGCCGTGGTTCCTTTTTTTTAAAAATATTCACCGTGCCAGCATTGTCACACTATAGGGACGGAACTCTTGGATAAATTTGGTGATAATTTGACTTGTAATCTAGCGCCACCAGCAGGTCAATGTTTTTCACTTACTTTGACATGTGTCAACATCTACTTGATAGACTGGCACTAAATTTAGCCAAGAAGCTCGTGGTCCCCACTGGATGACTCCTGACTTTGTCGGTGATCCTCAACCATCCAGCATCATCATTGAGTCAAATCTTATATTCCGATACTTCAGACTGACTAACACTAAGATGAATTGATGATGGCCATGAAGCTTTGTACACACATTCATGGTCCCCAGATCCAGAATCCTGATGACTTGGGAGGTCCCCTGACTTTTCCTGTGACATTTCATTTAATCTGTAATCTAGCAGGTCAATTATCAATCAAAATGTGTCAACATCTACTCGATGGATCCAGAATTCTGATGACTTTAGGTGAAAACGCAACGTTTTACAAATGAAAAATATCTAACCGATATTATTTTGACTGATATTGCAAATGCGATATGAATAATAATATTTACATCATTATTTAGATTTTCATTGAAAAATATATCAAAATTATTATGGTGCAATTTCTTCCGGGGATCTGTACCAAACAAAGGATTATCCTTAAGTCTGTAATGTGATGTGAAGGCTAGGACATCTCTGCAGCACCACAATATTTGATCTAAAATGATATATTGAGACATATTTAAAATTTTTAGTGCAATTTCGATAAAGATTCAGATGAATTGTGCAGCCCTAGTAAAAACCAAAGTCAAGACCCCCCCATCAGAAACTGTGCCTGGCCAAGAAACAATCCAACACCTGACCCCAGGAAAACCACAATGGGTTGTTTTTACACAAATGTCACTGACGGAGAATCAAGAAATTGTGTTTTTATAACCAAAAAGCTGCACTGCTCACTTTTTTTCACTCGGCTGTCGTCGGGTATTATTAATTGAAACAGCTCGCTGCTATTTATAGTATTTGTTTGTTCCATTCAGTGGCTCAGTCCTGAGTGACGCTGTGCTTTAAGGAACAGATTCCAGTGTTTTAACGGAGTGTGACGCTGTTGTCGCTGACTGCTGGAAAGATTCCAGAAAAAAAGAAGAAGAAAAAACACAGGATCAGGACAAATGAGCTAATATATTAAAAATAAATGGCCCCAGTACAGATCCAGCGGATCAGCTCAGGTCAATTCTGATCATTTCGACAAGAAGGATGTATTTAACACCTCTGTATTCCTCAGCTTCTCAGCTCTGGCGTCATCGTCGCCGCTGTGACGAGTTTCCTTTTTCGCTCCAGGAAGAAGAATATTTAAGCCATTCTATCATCACCTTCATCCCACCTCCTCCTCGTCCCCACCTCCTGTGTTAAACAGCTACGTGTCCCTCGAGCAGACAAAGGGCTGCCTCGGAGTGACTCACAAGCACAGAGAGACGAATACATGGAAAGAGGAGGAAATGTAAAGGCTGATAAACGGAGTCCTCCGTTGTTTTTACAATGACTTGAGCTGCTGCAACGGTTATATATTAAAGACTCGCTCTGCTGTCTTACGTCGCCCTTTCACATCACTTTGGCAGCAGGAGAGAGACGGAGAGAGATGGCACTGACCGGGCAACATGTCTCCCATCTTAATGGTCTAAACACATCGCTAAAGGTGTGTGTGTGTGTGTGTGTGTGTGTGTGTGTGTGTGTGTGTGTGTGTACTGCAGTAGCTCAGCGGATGACTCATCTCTGCGTTTCTATTTGAGGCGCATCAACCCCTGGAGTCACATTGCTGTCTGTGTGTGTTTCTGTGGGTGTGTGTGTGTGTGTCTGTGTGTGAGTGTGCGAGCGTTATGTACTACATCTGTATCCATGACAACCGCGTTACAGTCAAGTCAGTCGATCAGTCACTCAAGCCGAGACAAAAAGTGTCAAGAAATACCAACGGAAGGGCCGCACAGGTGTCTTGACTGTCTGCTACCAAAAAATGCATTCGTCTGCCATCCAACTAACGCACTAATACAGTAAATAATACGCACATTACCTGCTGAGAAAAAAATGGCCGCATCTCACATCAGTTAACAATGTTGAATGTAACCACCGGTCCTCTGTATCACAGATTTTAATCAAACTGCAGTCAGTGCACATAACACATCCATGGCTCAATACTGCTGCGCTATGTTTTTTTGGGGCATCCTGATCTATGAGAGCGTCCTCCTAAATAATTGGATGTAGGTCTGGCTGATATGATATATATATATAATATATATATATTATAAATATATATATATTCAAAACAATATAAGAATTTTGATGAAAATATTCTCTAATTATTATGTGTCTTAATGTCTGCCAACTGTCCTGTGAAATGCATTTATCAGCTGTTTTTTGATCCATATTACATTTTCTGTCCCCTAGGCCAGGCCTGTATTTGTTTATTTATTTTTCTCTTTAATTTTACTTGAAACCGTTATGTTCATTTTGCACTACAGTTCTGATTAAAATGAGAAATGCTCACACAGGAGACATACAAATATAGGCTTTACCATTTAGTTATTTCACATGGACTATATTGTGGTATATTGCTATCAAGATATGAAATTACCTTTATCAGGATAGAAGATTTTGGCCCTATCGCCCAGCCCTAATTGTATGTATAACATATTTGATGTGTGCCAAAACTTTGTACTCTGGTCCCAAGAGGATGAACCCTTTGGACTGTGACGATCCCCTGACTTTATATTTAGTGGATGGATTGCCATGAACGTTTTTTCTTACATTCATTTCCTCCTCAGCATAAATGGTAGTACATTTTCATCCAGCAGCAATATTGGGTCAAAATGTCGTCAAATATAAACATGACGAAATACTGTACCTGCAAAGCTATTGATATTCCCATGAGCCTCGGCTGTACTTTGTGTTAAGTGCTAGCTAGCATACCAAAATGCAAAACTAAGATGGTGACGATGGTAAACATTGTATCCGCAGCATGTTAGCATCCTCATTGTTAGCATGCTCATGTTAGAATTTAGCCTAAAGCACCATTGTGCCTATGTGCAGCCTCGCAGAGCTGCTAGCATGACTGTACACTCTTGTCCATTTTTCTTCTTCTGACTGTACTGATTTTCTTTTACTGCGACTATATTCATTTGTGCAATAAAATATATATTTATTATTATTGATGGTTTTGGACACAGCTAATGCTATAATGCTGATGTTTAGCAGATAGAACGTTTACCATGTTAGACACCTTATTTTTGAGTGTTAACATGCTAATATCGGCTAATTAGCACTAAACAGAAAGTGCAGGTAAAGCTGATGGTGATGCCATTAGTTTTGCAGGAATTTGGTCAGAGGGTCAACAAAGTTATTGAAATTCAACCTGTTGCCAAATCTATTGGCAATCAAGGCAAAAGTCATAGATATTTTAAACTGGACCAAAGTATACATTACATGAAGAGTTCGTATACTGAGCTGTTAGCTTAAAAAGGTTCCCTTTATAAAAATGTACTAAGCTGTCAAGTGCAACAATAAGTAACACAACTGAGTAATCCGACCCCGAGAGAGGCTCAAAGCTTGCATTGCTCATATGGATTCAATTGAGATATCAAAACTTTAACAAAACAGTAAATACAGAGGTAATGTGAAAGAATGTGAATAATAGAAACTCTTGATTAAAACAGAGACGAAGCAGAAAAACTAGAGATGCTCTCCAGTCGCAAAACCAGTCCCCGATGTCTTAGCTACCGCCACCGTTAAACTCAACACCAGCACAACCAGTCGGACACCGTTTCATTCGTTCAACCAGCATACGTCACAAAGGCACCGGTCTCTCTCCAGTTACAACGGCATTAACCACGGCAGCTCTTTGAGATAGGAAGACGGACTGATACGAGACTTACCTGAGGCGTGTGAGGAATTCATGAAGGTCGAACCTGGACCACCCTCCCCAATCCCTCCACTGTGTGCACGCGTGTGTTAAAGTGGGTCCTCTAAGTCGGCCATGTGTTGGGGGTCAGACGACGGACTGTCAGACAGACGAATCAGGCTTTCCTCTCAATGTCGGCTTTTCTGCAAAAGAGAAAGTTACGTTTTTCAGCACTTGCTAGTCATTCTATTCATTGGTTGTCATTTTTTTCGGTTATTGTTTTGTCTGTCTATGTTGAAGCGGTGATAGGTGTTATATCAAGAGTTTTGAATGTGGTATCATTTTATTTAACCTTCCAGAAACGAAAAACACAAGAGCAAAAGTGTAAGGAATGGATTAGTGTATTCGACATGCATTTCTAACGTTAACCGCTAATTTATAGCTGCTGTAAGTTAGCAGCTAACTTACTTAGCTAGCTTACGAACTACAGTAGTGACCTAACCCATCTGACCAAGGAGACGGGTCGAAGTCTTCAAATTAATTCCAGTTTGTCGTATTTTCGTCTCATCGTTCACATTGTGGAAGCTCGTCCGGGATGTCAGAGTTGAGGCTAACGTTAGCAGCTCTGTCCTGCTGTCTCTGGATTTGGGTTAGCTTACAGTCCCAGCAGCCCCAACCAAAGCAGCTATCTGAGATAGCATTTACGTTTCACCAATTACGTCAATTAGTCCTCATCCTAGAAGCCTTTTCCCCTGTTGTGTTAAAAGTGAAACGTACAGTTTGAAATACGAGAATAAATCCAACCTCTGTCTTGCTTGTTCAAGTATGTGAGCTAAGCAGCCAAATACTAATGAACATAAACTGGACTGCCGTTGAGCGAGAATGCGTTTCCACTAAAATGAGTTTACCGGTGGCTTCTCCTCCTCTGTGTCTATTTTTGTTTTAACATCGTACGAGGAAAGGATGGAGGAAGAAATGCGCTCAATAAATGACCAGCAGTCTGTGCAACAATTTCCTGGAGTCCAGTTGATAAGGTCGTTTACCAAATGCTCGGATCTTTCAGTCTGTCCAACTAGTACCTGCATTGCTACGGCAATGCAGTTTCACTGCACTTTAGTTTCTTTATTGTCTCCGAATGAAGAGATTTTGACACGTCCCGGGAGAAAAGCCCTATTTTTCGACTTAACTTTCATATTTTGTAATCCTGGTCATGATTTATCTTGAGTGGTTTGTGAAAACCAAAAGACACAATTGTGTCATCACAAGACCTCCTTTGATGTTGAAGGTTATAGCAGAACTATCATTGAGAGCTACATAAGAGGCCTTTTGATTGTAACATCACATGAGAGCTAAATTGTGAGCTACAGTAGAACTCTAGTGACACCAGTGATGTCATAACTAGTGACGACAGGAGCTACAGTAGAGCTATCTAGTGGGCCACGGAGATATGATCAAATGGTTGGATTAAATTTAAATATCTAAATGTCATAAATAGAAATATTTAAAAAAAACAAGTAACTCACTCAGAGCATAATTCTTAATGACTAGTGACATTTGAATATCACCACGCCAATCACGACACATCATCAGCTAGAGACAAACGTGTTGCTTCTACTGTAAGCTAGCTAACGTTCCCTCGGATGCAGTGACACAAAATGGATCGGTTATGAAACAAAACAAAGTGATGTGGGAGACGACCCTGCGTCAATAAAAGCTCCTAAGTGCTTGGTGAGGAAATACGACCCTGAATACATTGAATTTGGATTCATAATGGCAGGCAGTGATGGGTGCAGCTGACAGAGGCTTAACACATGTTTATTTTTTCACCTTCATGTTCTAATTTCCTTATTTATGTGAGAAAGTGGTTCTCAGATTTTTGTTTTTAACAATCAGTAGTGGGCCTTAAGTGATAAGAAGGTGAATAACCCCTGTTATAAAGTGAATAATGTATGTTTTGAATGTAGTTTCTTTAATTTCTTATCTAATTTCTGTGTTTCATCCCTATTTACTTTTTAGAATTGTATCCTATCTTGGGTTTTGTCTGCTTGTTTTTAGTTATAGTTATATATATATATATATATATATATATATATTTTTTTTTTTTTCCATGTAACTCAGAACTTCTGGCCTGAGCTCAACTTGCGTCTCACTGCTCTACATATCAGAGTGTTCCTGCATCTGTATGTCGTGTCCTGAAGCGACACTTGTGTTTGAACAGGAATTACACGGAATTAAAAAGAACAAGCTGCACCCTGTTGCTCACCGAGGCTCCCCTGGTCCTCTGCCGCCACCGACTGGTCATGTGCGGTGCATTCTATGTGTATAGAAGCATGAGAGAGAGCAAGAGGGGACCGTATCTGACAATAACTACTTGTACAGTGCAGTAAACTGGTCTAGCTGTATACAATCTAATGCGATCCAATACAACAGCCCCACAATCACTATTCAAATGCGGCATTTTTAGCAAAGTGATTCAATTCTATGGTGCCATTTGAAGCTGCAGTTGTGGCGGTATTTCTAATGTTGTGTCTCAGTCGTGTATGCGATGGTGTGAAGGTGAAAAAAACCCATTTAAATCAAATTGAGTGCAACATAATCAATGACATACAACTCCTGAAAATATTCTTTCCTCAAATTTCAAGTAAAAAAAAAAAGAAAATTCGACATTAACGCAAAATGTCGCACCAGTAATTTGAATTTCCATTACATCCCACTTAATTAATTCCATACGTGCATCTGGGGAGGATTACGTTGCACATCACTACTTCACTGAAACTGAGATATGAGGCATAATATGTGGAAAATGAAAAAAAAAAAAAAAATGAGAGAGAAGATTTTAAAGCAGACTTGTTACGACAGAGCTTCATAATTCTGGGTACTTTGCTGACCAGGAAGCGTATCCAAAAATAGAACCGGCTATCAGAACCCATCCGACACATCCACACTATGTTGCATACCGGACTGTGATTGGTTTGCCGAACCAGATATAATGTCACAACTCATGATCACTTTATGAACTAAGATTTAATATGAGCACAGAGAAACTTTTGCCCCCTTCTGCTGATGAATGTGGGGTAAAAAAGCCTTCTAACGTCAAAATATGCAAAGGTAACACTGAGTATTACCTCAGCAGGTTTTTATTATACCATTATTGAAATCACAGCATCTCTAAAATGACAGTTGGCAGCCAACCAAAAAAGAAAAAAGACAAAGAACCTCATTAGGAAGATTGTACAAGTTCCTGCCATCGATTCGGCACTGTAAGGTAGCCTGAACAGGAAGAACTCCAGAGGAAACAACGCAGACCGTACTCGGGCCGTGTCATCGTCTTGCTTTCTGTTTCAAAAATCCAGCCCAACCTTTCCTTCAGGTGTGCTTTTGCGGTGTGGGAGGATCCCCCCCCCTGTAGGAACTCTCCCCTGGACCTCCAGTAGCGGTTCTCACGTTCGACTTGGAAAGGCAAGAGGTGAAGGTGGCGCTTTACAGCATGCAGCGTTGACCTTTAAAATGTAGGCAACAGAACTCCTTCTTTCTAAATGCATGAGGTTTCAAAAGTCAACGAATAATCGTAATCTCAATACTGACCCGAAATGATGGTGCCTAGTCTGTGGTATAGTTTTCTTTACAGTTAAATCGGATGGTTATTGTCTTTGGTCTTTCTCCAATGAAAACAATGAAACAACACTGATGACAACTTCCTAAAGGCCAAGAGATTATTTTCTTGATCAATTGATGAGTTGTTTGCTCTATGAAATTTCATAAAATGGTGGAAAACAAATAGTCGATCAGTGTTTCCTCAAATGTCTTTTTTTTGTCCACAGCTGAAACATATTCAGTTTATTGTCAGAAAGGAGTACAGAAACCAGAAAATATTCACATTTAAGAAGCTGGCATCAGACTTTTTTTCCCCTCAAAAATAACTTAAATCGATGAATCGATTTAAAAATAGTTTGTGATTAATTAATAAGTGACAACTATTCGTTGCAGCTCTAAAGTTGATTGACACGAAATATCCCATAACAAATGATATCAAATATTAATGTCTGGGTTATTTCTGTCAGACAACACAATTGGAAGTCATTATCTTGGGCTCCAGGGAATCGAGACACTTTCCTTTATATTTCATGACATTTTATGAACCAAAACATTAATCAATTCCTCACTAATGCAAATACTCATTTAATGCAGCCCTGGTCTGGTTAGTTCTCAAGGTTAAAACCTAATATTTTAAACAGTTAAAGCACAACGAAAAAAAGTAACAGAAGCCAAACTGAAATCTAAAATCTAAAATCCCAAACTAAATCAAAAACAATAAACGATTGCAACGCTTCTGAGCTATAATAAGCCCGGGTCCAACTGGTCCGTCTATTTTGGGGCTCACGCCGCCTTTACAGTATGCGCCCCCCCAACTCCACAAAAAGAAGTCACAGGAAGTCCGTGTCCCAACAGGCACACTTGGCCGGGCGCCGTGGCAACGGTGTCGGGGCAAAAGATAATGGGATGGAACGCTGCGGGTGAGTCTGTGCTTAGGTAGTAACGGTGACAAGACACACCTGCTGGCCAACGATACGCATTAACCTAATAACACACACACACACACACACACACACAGAAAGAGAAAGCCTGTTTTAAAATAGAACACAGCAACATTTGAGTCCATTTTGGAAAAAATAAATAAAACAAATCAAGAAATATAAATCTCTCACTCTCCCTGCTGCCTCCTCTTCGTCTTCACACCGAAATATCCCAAAATACCTGGCCCCTCCCATTCTGGAGAGGAGCAGGAAGTGCTGCCTGGCAACCGGGGAGCTGGCTGCCGTGGCAACGCTCCACCTGAACACCTCTTCCCTAAACAAACAGCGAGCGGGACGTGGAGCCGTAGTCGGCCCCTCAGCAGTATTTGTTTATAGTCTGTATTCCTCGCTCGCTTTTTCCGTCGCACACAAATGTGCACACACACACACACTCATCTGTTCAACCAGGCCTATAAGACAGCAGCTCTTTATCTCTCTCTTTCTCACCCTCTCTGCAGGCTCAAGGAGAAAGAAGACAAATACACATTGTCCAACACACACACACACACACACACACACACACAGTATCTGTCCTCACAGACGTAACATCAGGACTGCATGTGAACAATTACCGTTATATGCAGAGCTGCAAAGATCAGTCGATTGATTGGCAGAAAAATGGATCCACAACAGGAGCAACAAGACGATAAGACAGTGGAGGAAAGCAGACATATTCCTGAAGATGTTCTTTACTCGTCTTTCCCTCTGTGAATTATTTAGATGATCATTATTGTTTAAATGATCATAAAAAACAAAATGTGGCCACTTGAGGGCAGCAGAAACAAAAAGTTAAAACATTTTGGGGAGGAATATTTAAGGTAAATTAATATTAGATAAAATAATCCCTTATTAGTCCCACAGCGGGGAATTGTGCAGGATTACAGCAGCAGAGTGGACGGTGCAAACGAACAAACAAGAAACAAGTAGAAACACAAGATCAAAACAAGTACAATAAATACGTAATTACCCAGTAAAGGTATAATAAACAAGTAAAAAAAAGCGGTGAAACAAAAACTAAAATATGATCTAGTCGGACTGAATGGTTGTAAATATTGCACAGTAGATTGCATAGATTATTTATATTGCAGTGGATACATTGGATTTATATTATATTATATATATTTATGAAGACTGTTCCTGCTGTATTAACGTTGTATGTTAATTTTAACTGGTAAACAGTCTCAATGTAACACTGATGCCTATATGACCGATACTGTAAGTCAACGAGACCATCAGAGAGAAGATTGGCCTTTTTCTACGTAGCTATTCACCGGGTTGAAATCATGCAGGTTTGCTAGAAAACTTCTTCAGCTTAGAATACAGATGAGGGGGGTCCTCCATCAGCGACCAGCACACTGACACATTGCATTCAAATTAGCACGAGAAGAACTGTAACCGCCACCTTCCCCTCAAGTTTCCTTGTCGAACGTAAACACTTGAGCACGAACTCTCGCGCACATATACAAACTCTCGCGAGAGTTTTACACAAGACGGATCCTTTCTACCCATAACCCGAAGGAAAAGCTAGCAGGTAGCATATCACGACTTTTTGTAAAACTACTATTAACAAGCAAAATAAATTTGACATATAACCCAGAATAGAATAGAATATAATAGGTATCATATAAAATCCAGACACTGAAGTTGAAAGTTGGTGGCATGGCCCTAAAGCTCTTATGTAACTAATGGAGTGACCTTTGACCCGTGAGGTTTGACCTCTGGGCTTTAGTAAAAATCTCTGTGCATGACAGAGTTGCAAATCCCTTTCCATCGCCCTTCCAACCAGAATGGATAATTCTGCCGGAATGAGTGCTAAAACCCGGAAATGAGTTCCCTCATCTCGAAGTCAATGGCTTTTATTTATGCCTGAAATATGGTATGTGGTTGACACAAGCTTAAGGGATGTTAACGTGTTGTTCTACAAGATAAAATATGCCGGCAGATATCCCACTCGTGAATTTTTGAAGTGTGTCATGTTTTAAAAAAGGCGGTCGCTAACAGGTGGCTGAACAAGACTACAAAATCATCATCACCTCGCAAGATACTTGTCCGCCTTTAGCTGAGCGGTGGTGAAGCGAAGTCATGCGACCATGGCGTGGTTTGTTTACATCCTTTCCTTTGTTTTTACCATTAGCTTTTTACTTCTGGCGATTGTAATTGCGCAAAACCCATTAAAGAGGTGTTCATTTTTTAAAGCAATCTTGGAGAACAGAATGTGTAATTATCATAACATTTGTTTGCCACAGAGTTCTGCAATGATCCATAATCCAATGGGAAAAATCCCATTGGCTTTTCGTCGTGAGTGAGGAGGGGCCATGGATGTATTAAGAGGACTGGATACAACTAACCAGCACATCGTTAAAAAAAGCTCTTCGGGCTTCCGCATTTTTGGGGCTGTCCTTGTCTGGTTGAATCTACCGACAGCCAGAATGAAAATAATATCTCAATGCAGCTATGTTTAGTAACATGAAGGAGGGAAAGAATGAAGCAAGAGGCAATTTAAAGGAAGAAGAAAAGTGAAGCCGAGAAGTATAATGTGAGGAGGATGCTATGAAAAACAACCCTGTTACAACAGCTATCAGAACAACAAGAGGTTATATTCATCCTTCTATCTACCTCGACAGAATAGTTTGTTGTGATTTTAAGCCGGCGGAATCTGTGATTAACTGTCACCTACCAAATCAAAACACTCTTTTAAAACAAAAGTACATGTTCCAAAGCACTGTGGTACTTTTCACTCTGTTGAAAAGGAAATTAAGATCTAGAGTTTTTGTTTTGTTTTATATGCACATGCTAAAATTTGCATCAATCAACTTGAAAAGGTGTGGCCTCTGACTGGCACAGGCTGTTACCCAGACTGGGGACTTTCATCATTAATCAATAAACAATCCATCACTGTGAATAAATTTGACACCATGGGTAATCATTACCCAAGAACAAACAATGTTTTCGGGTGGGTCGCAACACGCTGACACGGTATTTACAGTACAAAGCATCCCGCAGAAAGCTTCCTAACCAACTATGGACGTCCAATTTTCTGGAGGAAGTGAAATGTTCAAAAATCCCTTGAGGCTGGCAACTTGCAGGATTTGCTGGGACATTTCCCAAATTCCCCTTCAGTGGCACGCCAGGAAATGTAAACAGCGACTATTTCATCACCGTTACTTCGCTTTGAAAGCCAAAAAATGACAGATGTTGTCAACAGGTTTCATTCTCATACGCTATGGTGCCATCCGGCAGTCCACCTCTTTTGGAAGGAAGTTGCATCCTTCTTAAACTACCACCTTGAGGCAAAATCCTCGGTGACACTTTATGTATCTGTTAATGAAAATAAACAAACACTACTCAAGGCTACAACTGCGGTTGAGGGGACGATTGTCTGTCGGCGGAGGCCGCCTCGCTCCATTTCTATGGCTACAAGATTGTGCAGGAGCATTTTGCAGGATATTCTAAATCCCAGCGGCAAACCATACTTTGCACTGGCCAAATACAGTCATGACTGTAGATGTTTCTACAGCAGCAGCAGTGGCTATAACTATACCTACCTTTTTGGGCCCATTTGTACCAGGCTGATTTTTTGACAATTATAGACATCAAACACAAATACTTGAGAGTCAGCTATGCCCTGTTGCTCTCCAATTCACTATGCACAAGCATAGGCTTGTGCATAGTCCACAACTGGCCTCTGGCCTACCCAGGTGGCATGTGTGCCAGGTAGCGTGGCAGCTGATAATAATGAAGTTTGACAGCAACATGAACAACACCGTGCAAGATATACATTTCTAAACTTATGTTAGCGAGCAAAAGTTTGCCATATTTCATGCTGAGTATCAACGTGATCATTTTGGGGACAATGCAACTGCAAGCAGCCTCTGCAAAGTGTCAGACAGTTTTAAGAAGAGCAATGAGTGAGCAATGTACCCGTATGTCAGGTTCTATCTAATAAGGGGACCTCATTCATGAATGTAATTGTAGATTGGACAAGATAATACAGTACACAATACTAACGTTGTACGTATATTTGCTTATTACTGAGTTATGATACTCGCCACTGGTAGTAGGTGTTGTGTTGTTAGCTTGTTCGGTTGGTTGCACTACACCGGTCACTGCTAGCTTGGAGCCGTCCACTAACCATCCTGTAAGGAGTTAACTACTAACCGCTGTTTAACTTTTAATTGTTAGCTGTTAGTTGTGACGTTAGCTGCTAGCTGTGACGTAAACTCCCCCGGTCAATAACTGCCAGAACACAGGCAACTGTTGCGTGAACGCGAATAATGGCATTCCGTAAAGTGTTACCTGTTCAGTAACTTAGCTAGTTAGTTAGCTGTTGTGTCGGTCAGATGCCCAGCGTGTGTCCTTTAGCTAGCCGTAAGTTAGCCGTGTGACAATTTGTTTCTAAGTTAGCCACTGTGTTATAACTGTAGTGCAGGCAATGGCTTAGGAAAAACACAGAAAATGTCACCTTTCTCACTCTGCGACCGTTGCTTCGAAGACAAACCTTTAAAAACTGCCTGTCGGTATATCCCTTCGTGAACGGTCACACGCACGGACGCACGGACGCACGCTCTCTCGGTACCGTGGATGTCGGTGGGTCCTCCTGCTGGAACGCGTATTGGCGCAGAGGTCGCTTCTTCTCGGCTTTGGTTTCTCCGCCAAGGCTCGGTGTGTGTTCGCCCCCCGTCGTAGAGTTCCTCTGCGCTTTTATTTATACATTAAAACGTGTACTTCAACGAGCAGGACGTTTCGCCTCCTATCGTTTTAACCTCCTCCATATTTACAGTCTGCCTCTCTATCCCTCCCTCTCTCTTTTTTTTTTCTCTCTCTCTCTCTCTTACACCACCAACAACAACATTATTGACGTCGTCCTCCTGCCACGTGACCAGTCTGCTGGGGCTAAAAATAGACCCAATAGAAACCTACGGAGGCAGACAGACATGGCAGAGACAGACAGGCAGACAGACTCTCAGTTTAGTTTGTCTCCTACTTCACCTTACTTTCCCTCGTTTCCTACTCATATTGTGCCTCAGTACACAGTTGGGCTAGCTGCTCGCTGTGGGACCTGAAGGTAACATGAGCAAGGACCGCACACTGAAAGACACTGAAAGTCCATCAAATAATGTGTTCATGTGAGTTGAGCAGTACAAGTATTGTTGAAGCAAGTCGTTTATTAATCAACTGGTCAGTCAAAAGAAAATATTGTAAAACTATTAAAAACAATTCATATATATATATTTTTTTTTTTAATAATTTATTATGCAAAATGGCCAACATCACACTTCAGCCCCTCAGTTGTGACAGTCTTCTGCTTTTCTCTAGGTTGGTTTTACATGTTTGCTCCTTTTAATGTATTTACATTTGAGTCACAGAGCCAAGCATCAGATTTTACAGAAAAAATATAAATACCCGCGCAATCTTTGCAAATACCCAGATGGACATTGAACAACACTATGCTAATTTGAGGGTATTTTCAGAATCCTCGAAGTCTCTTTAAACCATCTGGATGAATAAATATTCCCTTGGATGCTAGAATGTAAAGGTAATATTGAGTGACATAAAAGGGAGCTAGATCACAACCTGCCTCAGGGCTCCAGGCCCCCGGGGGTCTCCAAAAGCCACAGTTTTACTGTGTGCAAATAGTTTTTTTGGTGATTTGATACATTGTTTGGAAATATGGGCATATGTACCACTAAAACAATATATCATCTGACATGAAGGGCCTTACGAAGGAGCCTGTTTTACTACCCGATCTTTAAGGTACAAGACATGAGATTTGGAGCACTTCGATTGCCTCTCAACGGCTCTCAACATGGCGACCCGCGAGCCAGCGGCACGTAGCTTACGCTACTAACAGCGCTAACAGTGCAAACTAGGGCGAACGTGCCGACAGAGGTTACAGTGTTTATCTGAGGGGGAGCCGGAGGGTTGGCGCTACCCTGCCACAACAATGCTGTCGGTCGCAGGCGGCGTTATCAGCTGTAACTGCATGAGGATCCCTCTATCAAATTTTGTGAGCTTCATTGTTCTAGTTTTGTTCTCAAATCTTTTACAATGCAAAATTAATGTGTTTAACACATTCACTACACAGAAAATGTAAGGCCGATTTACATCCCAATAAAACCTTTATGAAAATAACTGAGGTGTTAAAAGGGGCCCAGTGGGTCATTTTTGCCCCCAAGGCCCCCTATCACGTTTATCCAGCTATTGATTTTCTTTGATTGCTGTTGTTGCACCTACTAGGGTGTTAGATGTTTGAATGAACAGTAATAGCAATATACCGTAACATTTATATAATAACGCAACATTTTACAAGTTATGTAAATGGCTATGGGATATAATGCCTGTATGTGTGTAGGATTTTTGGCATTCATGTTCCCCTCAGGATGAATCGTAATTACTTTGGCAATCAATGACTTTTCACCTGCAGCGCCATCATCAGGTCAGAATCTCAGTTTCCTAGCATGTTAGCTCACTGACATTAGCTTTTAGGTCAAGTACAGCATCACAGAGCTACTAGCATGGCTGTAGCTGACTCTTAGTCTTGTTTTACTGTACAATTTTAGCATTTCGGACACTCAGATGCCCCTGTATCTCAGCAACGCTGTATTATCTTTAGCAACTGTGTACCAAACAGTCTTTGCTGCGGAAGAAAAATACAAATTACATTGTGAAACAGCAACATTGTGGAGTCCATAGCATAACAGAACTGTGGTGGGACTTCAGCTTACTTTTGGAATAAGTCTGTGATGTTTGTCAAAACTGATATATCTGGAATCATGATGCATACAAATTAACTGTCAGAATTAACAGCGACAAGGTTTGAGGTGGGAAAAAGGCAAAAATCTCCCTTTTATTCATCGTTGTTTACAATTTAAGGAGAGGAGAGGGGCTATAAATATCTCCACTCTTAGCACAAAGTGACTGCGGAGGAGGTGGAGGGAATAGAAAAGATGGAGATTGGGAAAATGAGGGAGGAGAGAAGGTAAGAGAATGTGACAGAGCAGGGGGATTGGAGGAAAGATGGAGAGAGATGGAGGGAGGGAGGAAGGGAAGAGAAGGAAGGATGGGGAAAGAAGGGAAAAAATTAAGGAAACGCGAGGGTAGAAAAAAAAGAGCAGGGAAATATTCTGCACGAACAGAGGAAGAGAACAAGGTAGAAACGATGGAGAGAGGGCTGGAGGTGGCATGAAAGGGAGAGTGAGAGACAGAAATAGAGAGAAAGAGAGAAAGAAAGAGCTATTCTGGTAATGATGTTGTTGCCATGGAGACGCTGCGCTCAGTCAGACTACTCCACAGGTGCCCCGTGGGTATTTTTAAAAGCGCGTCAATGATTGGCGGAGGCCTTTTGAAACGGAGCACTATTGATTTGTTGACATAGGTGAAGGTCAAAGGTCATCACATTGCATTACCCTCATCTCCCCCCTTCTTCTCTACTTCCTCATTCCATTGCTTGTGAATCTCTGTCTCAATTCACATAAAGCTAAAAATAAAATGGTGACCAATGCCAAACACACGTCTTGAACGTTACATCTACGCACTGTTTTCTGTTTAAAGGAAAGCCCTTTGCAACCTTCGAGAGCAAGAGACCTTTGTTTTCATTTAGATAAATATCTGTTAAGTCATATCTAGCTCCCAAAACACAATGGCGATTGAGTCTGTGGCCCACCGATGCATTCGCAGTATAACAAAGTTGGCATCTGTAGTGACATTCCCAGAGAAAAGGCGACACCGTTTGGAATCTCTTGGAAGTGAGATCCCAAAAACACGCCTGCAGTTGCCGCTTTTCGCCATAGGGGCACCGAAGAGAGCGAAACGGAGATCTTCTCGATTGTAACTTTAAAGGGGCCATGCTCAGTATTTTGGTCACACTTTATAACGCTGCTGGTGATTCACAGCGTACACATTTACAGCGTTAATTCTTACTTAACTTGTGGTGTTACATCGTCGTGTGAATCAGTACATGAAAAAATACTTTCGGTTCTTGCTGGTCCCTAAATGAAGGTACATTACATTATATTACATTACAGTCATTTTGCAGACGCTTTTATCCAAAGCGACTTACAATAAGTGTATTCAACATAGGTATTCAAGAGAACTGCTAGTTACCAGAAGTCATAAGTGCATCTCCTTTTTTACACAAGCATCTAAGAGCATAAACCAGAGCAGAAGTACAGTGCAGAAACAAACTAATACAAATATAATATGTACAAAAAACAAATATGAATACAATAAGTGCTAAGTGGAAGGCTCAGGGTAGTACTTCTTGAAGAGATGAGTTTTCAGCCTGCGCCGAAAGATGGGCAGCGACTCTACTGTCCTTACGTCAGTGGGGAGTTCATTCCACCACTGTGGGGCCAGGACAGAAAAAAACCGTGACCGGGTCGATCAGCCGCAGGGACCTCTGAGCGACGGGGCAACCAATCGCCGTGAGGCAGCAGAGCAAAGTGGTTGGGCCGGGGTGTAGGGCTTGACCATGGCCTGGAGATAGGAAGGAGCTTTTCCTTTCACTGCCCTGTAGGCTAGCACCAGAGTCTTAAACTGGATGCGAGCTCTTACAAGTAGCCAGTGTAGAGAACGGAGAAGGGAAGTTGTGTGGGAGAACTTGGGGCGATTGAACACCAGGTGAGCTGCAGCTTTCTGGACAAGCTCCAGAGGTCTGAGTGTCACCGGGGCGAAATGACAAGACCAGTTGGGTGTCATCGGCATAACAATGGTAGGAGAAGTCATGCGAGCGAATAACAGAACCCAGAGATGTTGTGTAGAGCGAGACTGAACTGGCCCAGGACTGAACCTTGTGGAACCCCCGTAGTCAGCATGCGTGGTTCCGACATGGCCCCCCTCCATGTCACCTGGTAGGATCGACCTGTCAGGTAGGATGAAAACAGGGAGAGTGCAGCGCCTGAGACGCCCATCCCCTCGAGGTTGGAGAGGAGGATCTGGTGGTTCACCGTGTCAAAAGGTATTGCGTATCAAGGGAGTAAGATTTCGGAATTTTAGGGGAAAGGAGAAATAAGTTGTATTTAAGTATTTTAATAATTACTGGAGTAGGAGCCATGTATTTGATTTGTGTTTAATATGAATTGTGTAATATGTCAGTAATTAAAGGTGTGATTGAATGGGAAAAGAAGCAAACGCTTTTTTGACCTAATTGCAGTGACTAAAAGTCCTCCACTTTAGCCGCTAACGAATGCTAACTGATCTGAATTGTTTAGCCGTTTGCTGCGGCGTTATCTGTTTAAACTTTGTGATTGAGCTTCTTGGAAGTGACGGTCACTTGTGGACACGAATGGGAAAAATGTATGCAATGATATATAAAGTATTGGCATGCGTTGTGTATAATTTTGGTCGGAACAGACGTCTAAACAATTCAGATCAATTAGCAGCCAGTAGCGGCTAAAGTACAGGAATTAATGTCACCACAACTGGGTACGGGGTGTTTTATAGATACTTTTAGTGTATTTGTAACCATTGGGTACATATGGGGATACAGTACTAGTCAACAAAGCTTTACATTTGACATCCTAAGGTACCTCTTAAGTAATTATGCTATAACATATTTCACAGTTGTGATGTGCTACTAAAACCTCAGGCTTTTGCACTAACGAATGTTTAACAATGAATGCTGTTGCCCTTTACTCACAGTAGGTGTGACAACCCATACTCCAGAGATTTATTATGCCTTTTAGATTTATTCTGAATAATGAGTTGACAAATGATGTCTATACTTTTGAAAATTGGCTTTAAAAACCCACCGTACTCTATCGACCTCAACACCAAACAACCAAACAGCTAACATTAGCGGGTAGCTGTGGAACAAAACTGAAATTCAAATGGAAATTCACAAAATTGTACACCGTTTTGGTTCCTTCAAGACAGTAATCTCAGGTTCTGCCGAGTGAAGCCGATGTGGAAGTGTCTTAAAACTTGCATTCTCTCTACTGGCCATCAGGGGGCGACTCCTCCGGTGGCAAAAAGAAGTGTGATTGCATAGAAGTCTATGAGAAAATTACTCTACTTCTCACTTGTTTTATTACCTCAGTAAACATTGTAAACATGAGTTTATGGTCTCAATCTCTAGTTTCAAGTTTTCTTCAATACAGCATGATCTTCATTTAGTAAATTATGGTCCATTTAGAGTCAAACAGACCATAAAGAAGGGTTTGCTTTAGGGCGTTCTCACTGTGATTGACTGCGATTCACAAGATAGTATAAAAATGGTAACCTCCATATGTTGGTTGCAAAAAAAAAACCAACATGGTGACGGCCGTAATCCAAGATGGCGACGGCGAAATCGTCAAACTAGATGCTTAAAAAACGTCATTCCACAAACCACTTCTTATATACAGTCTGTGGTTCCATCCTGAAGGCAATGTTTTTGTCATTGTGACCTCATGCTGCACCAGTGGGAGGGAAATAAATCTCAGACCGCCAGGGTCCAAAACCCACACAGGTAGAAATGTGTCAAGTCATATTTAGAGACTTGATAAATATACTGGAAAGACTGCGGCGAAAACAAGCTCATTGGTGTCATTGAGACAATAAAGAGACAGACAGAGAGAAAAAGAGAGAGAGAGAGAGAGAGAGAGAGAGAGAGAGAGAGAGAGAGAGAATGGGGTGAACCAATAACATCTCAATATGTAGAACACACACGCAGCAAAAGGAGTAGCAGTGAGTCAGCCTCCTGCTGTGAGTCACAGGAGAATTCAGAGATGTCAGACAGAAAAAGAGTGCACACACACATGCATGCACACAGACACACAAGCATACACACACACACAGACACACATACACACACATGGTCACAAGTTTTCTGACATTAATGAAGATAACCTTGACAACTGTTCTCCTTCCACCTACGGAGTTACAGTACGAGTGTAAGGCTTGACACACACACACACACACACACACACACACACACACACACACTGAGCTGGCCGTCCCACCACATTCTCAAATCTGTAACACACAAATCAATTTTTCACCAAACGCGCTTCTTCCGACACATTCTCAGGAATCCAACAGCATCAGCACGCGTTACCTCCGCAGGCTTTAGATGAGCATCTGACTCATTTCTCCATCATCCTGCGTTGAACCTCAAGTCCCCCAACGGGTCCCCGGACCACAGAGTGAATACCGCTGATCCCACGCTGCTGCTTCTGCTGCTGCTGCTGCTGCTGCTGCACTGAATGGCTGCACTTCACGCTGCTCTCGGAGCGAGTTGTCCAAGACCACAGTGCCCCCAAGAGGAGAGGAAGGGAGGATGCTGGGATGCTGTCATGGGATGCTGGGATGCTGTTACCCCAACTGCCCTCACATAGAGCACATCAAAGCCGCAAAAACATATTCCAAAATCAAAACTTCCCTCAAATGTTTACTGTTTTTCTTTACGGTGTGGGAGAATCTGGAATGCAAGCATACATTTTGATTTCATTTTTAATATTTTAACAATGACTATGTCCATTGTGAGCAGTAGTTATGTATATGATGTTCTTTTTGCTATATATCTCTGTATAATGCATCAGATTTTATGTATTCAAATGTGTGTTTATTATATGTAGTCCCTGTCAAATAACTTGTAAATAGATAAATTAACACAATTTCGACTTGTTTACTGATAGGGTCAGTGGTTATTGTGCAGATTCAGATTTAACAGACGCAAGACAGCATATAGCAAATAAAATATGACGCATGACAGTTTAATGAGCTGAAAAATGTTCTGGAGGCAAAAATATACAGTTGATATCAACTTTACAAGCAACATATCAGCATAGCTTCCCAAATATGTCAGGATCCCTGTCAGACCAGACACCTCCCATGGCCACACAGCTGCAGCCACTCCAGCCGATTACCTCCTGCAGGCTGACACACCAGACTCAGGTCCCACTAACGCTTCCCCTGGCACTATATAAACTCTGGTCCTGCAGTCTGGGGTTGTCAGGTTGTACCGTCTTTCACCTGCTTCAGCCCCGTTGCATCTTCGGCCTCGAGCGCCTGCCTACGGTGTCCGCCGGTCCGGGAATCCCCCGTGCCCTCCTTTGTTTTTACGGACTACTCACTGCCGCTCTGCCCTCCGTGGTGTTAACGGACTACACACCGCTGCTCTGCCCTCCGTTGTGTTAACGGACTACACACCGCCGCTCTGCCCTCTGTTGTGTTAGCGGACTACTCACGCCGTGAAGCTGCCATCTCTCCGGTGTCGAGCCACGGGACATCACGCCATCAAGCTACCAGCCCTCCGGTGTCGAGCCACAGGACTCACACCGTCGATCTGCCTACTCTCTGGTGTCGAGCCACGGGACATCACGCTGTCAAGCTGCCAGCCCTCCGGTGTCGAGCCACGGGACTCACACCATCGATCTGCCTACTCTCTGGTGTCGGACCACGGGCTCCACACCTTCCTGTCATCTTATTCAGGCTAAATAAAACCTGTTTATACCAACTTCTGTCTCCTGTGGTCTTGCTATTGGGTCCTAACCGTGAAATCCCATGAAAAAATATATCATATCATACAGCACCAAACAATATGCTGTTATGGACACGTGGTGTAGAATTTCAGGAAAATCCGGAGGGACTGAAACTCTCATCAGTGTGCATGATGTGCACAAAAGTTATTTGAAGGGAAAACAATTTAAGCGGCATCTTAAAACTTTTCCATCTCGTGGGTCCCCATATCAGTCTGCTTTGATTATCCAGCTCCATATAGGCTTTACAATTCAATGGAGAATAAATGGAAACAGGCGGATTTCATGAGCATTATCGGTGGAAGGTATAGTAATAGTGAGAGTATAGCAGTAGTCGTGGTATTCAAACAACAGAGGATGTACTTGATGCCTCTTTTATGGACATGTTTTGTATAAGGATATATCTTATTGATTTGGGAGAATTGGGAACCATAAGATTTTTGGGGTATTTATTCAAATGTTTTTTTTTGATATTTTTTACTAATTTAAATATATTTTTTAATATATATTATATACATATAGAATCTGCACAATATCTATAAAATATATTTAACAAAAGATTTTAGAATATAAATATATAGATTTTTTTTTTTCAACTATTTCACAATATTTTGTTTAAAAATCATGTAATTTAAAAAAAATTAATAATTTCCAATGCCTGTGGTCGGTGGTCTCGTGAGCAGTGGTGGTTGTTACTGTGATACTAATGGTATGAGGAGGTGTTGTATAAGCAGTGTCTTGGCAACACATTCACTCAGCCGCTGATTGTCCTCCTCTGAGAAGCCGACTCACAGACACTCCCATCCTCCTTTCGCTCTCCTCCACAGTCTCCCCCCCCATCCTCTCCCCTCCCATCCAGCGTTGTCAAGGCAACAACCCTTTACACTGGAGCCGTTAGTCATCAATCCACGTAGCCAAACACCCCCCTCTCTCTATCTCTCGCTCTCTCTCGATGTTATTGTAACGTTTCATCACGAGTCGGACTCAAGGGCCCTTGGTCATTATTACATTTATTTATGGTTTCAAGTGTTTCTATATATATATAAATTTCACTGCAACAAAGTAATTGTTTATAAGAACGTAGCAACCTAAAAGAGGGCTATAATAATACAAAATTCTAATGAAAATATTGATGATAATGATAAAATAAATAAATAATAATAGTAATAGGCTGTACAACACTGCACTTTGTCATTTCCTACTTAGTCCCGCTGTCACATGGGTTGGGCTTTTCGGGAGGGCATCCAAAACACACAAACAAACGCGCGCCTGCACGCACGCCTGTACGCACGCATACAGTCTTGCACGGTCAGAGGGAGAAGGAAGGCGGATCTGCAGATATAAACAGGACTTCCTCAGCAGAGCAGAGACACAGCGCAGTAAGTACCTCACTCCTTATTATTCCTACCCATTTACCCCTCTTCTTTTTTTAATGGAACTACTGTCACAAGTTAAACAACAGAGTCAAATTAAAGTGACAGGTAACGGCGTAAACGTCACGGTGGCTTGTCATGTCACTGTCATTTTTCCTTTAATACCCCTTAAACTATGGTTGCATTAATGATAATTAATGCAAATAACGACTTTTACATCGGGCTGTGCCGTGTGGTGTTTGCCACGAGAAGCTTATTGCAATGATGTGGCGAGCCTGACGGATGTCCGTTCGGTTTTGGGTAATTTCTGCCCGTGTTCCCGTGTAACTCCCGTCAGTGACGTTCGACACTTCCTGACGCGTTCTCTCGACGTCGCGTTTGTATTGTCGGACTTTTCGGCTGCTGGAAAACGAGATAAAAGCAGCATAATGCAGTGTGTGTGCGTGTGTGTGTTTTCCCCACTCAATAGTTTTATTTTGAAGTGGCTCTGCGCATTGTATTTCACTGAAAATTGACTTATTATTGTGAAATTGTTTTCTGCGGTTAAGTAGCCGTGGTCCCAATTGTACTTTTTGCAATTTGTTTGTTCTGTAATTTGTGACATCCAGTCAAACTTGATTTTGAGTTGAAAGTAGTACTCAAGTTATTCTCAGTAGGCTTGGCTACTTGTACAACTCTCATTGAAAGAGGGCGTTAAAAAAAATAAAAAGTCATATCTAAATTTCTGCTAAAGAAACTGGATTACTTCAGCCTTAGCTTCATAATTCAATGTATTGTAAATTATTATTATTTTTCTTTTTTAAATAGATACTCGGTAACCTTCCTGTTAATCTTTCTCAGATCATGGATGAAGCGGCCCCGCGTCATGCTCGCTCTGTGTTCCCATGGCTGGTGGGAGCGTCGCAGGTGGTGGGTCTGGCGGCTGTGGTGCTGACCGGCGTGTGGATGGGCCACTTCCGCGGCGGCTTCGCCTGGGATGGCTCGGAGCTGGAGTTTAACCTGCACCCTCTGTGCATGGTGTTGGGGCTGGTCTTCCTGCAGGGCGACGGTGAGTCGGCCACCGATCGGCGCGACCGCTGTCGCTCCATGAGGAAAATGTAGAGTTACCTAGGTTAGGCCACGTTACCTAGGTCTGCTAGATTGTGTCGAGAGTGCTATATGGGGTATGATTTTCATTCCTGTTTTATCATCTCATTTATTTTCTTAACATCTTTAAGGATATCTTTCATTACAGGAGCAAGAAAGAAGCCAATGCAGAAGTGCCAGGAACTTGCATTCTTTCTAATGGCCAGCAGGGAGCGACTCCTTGAGTCGCAAAAAAAAGTCAGATTGTATAGAAGTCTATGAGAAAATGACTCTACTTCTCATAGTATTACCTCAGTAAACATGAGTTTATGGTCTCAATCGCTAGTTTCAAGTCTTCTTCAAGACAGCATGATGTTTATTGAGTAAGTTATGGTCCCATTTAAATATAAATACACAATAAAGCAGGGTATGTTTTAGGGCGTGGCTACCTTGTTCGCTACCACGGCGTTATCCAGTTTGGGTGTTTTCCGTGGATTCTTCTCACAAAACCCTTTCACAGTGATGAAAGACGACTGAAAATAAAACTATTTCTTCAACATACAGCAACGGGCCAATTACCAATTAGCTCGGAACCCATCGGCTATGTGTGACGACAGATAAGCCTCTATTGGGACAAGGGTTTTCAGTGTAGCCAGCGCATACCCGGGAACAAGACTTCCTTTTTCTGTGCGCTGCTCGATGTTTACAGTCCAATTAGCAACTAATCATGGTTACACCACGTAAGTTTCATGAAATTGAGTGAAACTGGAAGCAGAGGTCAGCTTTACGTGGATGCTGTAGTCACTCTGTTGGTGTGTGTCTCTGCTTATGAGTGTCCGCATGTGTGTCTTAGCCTCGGGCGCCGTGTTGCTGACCTGTTGCATTAAGCTAACGCTACCCAGACATCCATCAGTCCCCCACCCCCACCCAGCAAGTTTGATTTAAACAGAGATAAGCAGAAATGGTTTGAATCATTGAACATGCCGGTTTTGTGTCTGTCTGTCTGTGTCTGTGTGTGTTTATGAGACGTATCCAGTGAAGCTTTGACAAGATTGGCCCATCCGGGAAGAGACAGTCAGCAAACTGAGCAGCCTCTTCTTCAGCTTAAGAGCTGAAGGGGTCCAGAGGAGCATGTATGCTAACATATGCTAACGTTAAGAATATAACCACATCACAAACTAGAGGTCCTAGTTTTGATGGTTATTTGTGTGTTTTTTATTATTTATTTAGCATACATGCTGCCACCCTGAGGATGATGAAAGCTTTAGAGACCATTTGGACCTTTTAGGTTTGTGGTCAATCTGACAGAAACGATTTATAATATGTAAAAAATCAACAGGAACTCTGAAAAACAAAGGAGACCAAAATGGAGGACGCTAACGTATATCTCATTAGCAGTGTCGCAACTTTGTTTAACCTTCTCTTGTTGCAGTATAAACTGCTACAGTTCTGAGACAGCGGTCGATGATAAAAAAAAAACATATTTCAAAAACAAAATCAGTGAACTCATTGTTCCCTTAAGGACCGAGATAACAAGTTTGCTAACTGACAATTAGCAACTGTTAGCAAGCTTGTGAGCTTTAAAATCTTTCTTCAGTAGTTCTTAACTGAATGAAGTGACGTACAGTCGTGAAAACAAGAGACAGACAGAGAAAATAGGAAGTAACGTGAAGAGCTGTTGCGACCGGCTAGCACTTGCCAGCTACAGTAGTTCTCCAACTAGCCTCGTGAGTAGCCCCCGCGTCACCAAGCCTCTAGAACCAAATAATTCACCAGCATGAGCGGAGGAAATTCACTGTGCTACTTCCTGGTGTGACCAGGCAATTTAAGCACCATTTATCAGCTATAACACCATGAAGACTGTCCAAAAGTGTGCTTTCACAATTAGCCTTTTGTGTTTTGCCCCTCTCTATTTCTTTCTCTTTGATAACTTGGAACATGTGGGAGGAAACTGTAACTTAGCTAAGTTATGATCTGTCTTATGATACACACTGCAGCAAATCCCCAGTGACCTCTGCGGTCCCGGAAATAAAGACAATGCGAGATGTTGCCGTCTTTCCTGCTCTCCGCTTCGTGCCTGCAGCCCTTGGGTACTTTTGCTAATGACAGTAACCAGATTAGTTCAACTGGTTCACAGCTGTCTGTTGCAGAGCTGGATTGCATTAGTGCGATAAAAGCGAAAAGGTCAGCTGGACATTAGACGGGGACAAGGCGGGTTATGGAAATACCCAGGGGGGGTCCTAACACACACTCACAAAAATACACCTCAAAGCTGATTCCCTGTGATTAAGTCTGTGTTTGTTGCCTCAAGCTACTTCCACGCTAATGTGGATACATTTGACAGTATATACTGTACACACTTAATCAGCATCTCTGGCTTCTTAAAATATGATATTTAGCACTTCAGGTTCCGTCGTCTCAAAGTCAATGGGTTTTTGGTTAGATAACTGAAATAATGTCTGTGGTTTACACAAGCCAAAGAGATTTTAACGTTTTGTTCTAAAAACATTCATTTCAACAGTAAATACCTCTTTTGGGAATTAAAAAAGGCGTGGTTTGTGGTCAATGTGACAGAAAAGGTTCATAATATATAAACAAGAACTCTGAAAAGCAGAGGACAGAGCCCGAGAGTCAAAAATGGAAAAAGCTATCCTATATCTCATTAGCACTCTTTGTTTAACCTTCTCATGACAGCGGCGAATTAACTGTGCAAACTTATTTTTCCCGCAGCGACCGAGCTAACGAGCTTTCTTGCCGACAGTTAGCAACAGTTAGCAAGCGTGTTAGCTTTGAGAGTTTTTTTTCTCTCTTCGGTAGATCTCAATTGAATGAAGTTATGTACAGTCCTGAAAACAAAGCGGACAGAGAAAATAGAAAGCGGCTCGATTGTTAGCATGGTTAGCGGTTAGCTTGCCAGATAAATGTAGCAAGCAAGCTTAAGATATTTTAATGTTTTGTTCGCAGACATAAACTACAACAGTAGATACCTGTCTTGTAAATTTTTAAGCTTTTAGGTGTCTTAGAAAAGACAGTTTCTAACAAGTGGCTAAACGCCATCACCCCGACTAGTCTGCCTTCACAGCCTCGTTGCGTTAACACTCGCTAATGCGACCATGGTGTAGTTGTTTTACAGCCTAACGTTAGCTTTCTACTTCTGCAGATTGCATTCACGCTCCAAAAAAATCATAAAAGTGGTGTTAATTTGTGAAGATTATGTTGCTGGAGAAAATGTGAGTATCATAAACATTTGTTGGCCACCGAGGTTATTTTCTGCAATGATCCGATGGAAAAATCCCATTGGCTTTTTGTCGAGGGAACTAACTTCCTGAGTTAGCCTTCAGAATTGCGTCACGTCAACAGCTCTCTATATTTTAACACCTGAATCATGAAGAGTGGACATGGCTACAAGATTATTTTCTGAAAGACCTCACATATACTGTAATTGTCATGTGATCATTTATTTTTGGAATCAGATACACTGCAGTCTTCATGCTCGCTCTGAAAGCACTGAATCACATTGAAAACTGCTTAAAGCTGCTTAGTAGCTTAAAGAAAGGATTTTAAAAAGGACACAATTAACAATTGTGTTCAGTTTAACCTTTTTCTCCAAATTAAAGAAAATGGCTCAAAGGGCTCGCTTTCTGCACACAATGTATGTATGCTCTCTGTAGGCCTATTGGCACATCTTTACACCTTTTATATATGCTGTAATCACATAATGTTTGTATATGTTCATGTCTCATTCATTATTACAGCGCATATCTTGCATATTTACTAGAAATATATAAATATATAGACAGTCCCTCTGCAAACTTTCATGTTCCCTGTTTTCAGTTACGTTGTTTTTTACTAATTTAAAGAGGTTTTTTATACGGTGTTTTCCTTCTGCTGCTCTTTATATATTTAAATTTTTGTTACAATGGTCTCCAATATTTGGGCATTAAGATACTGGCCATATGTTGAGGATATTGTGGATGTTATACTCTTTACTTGATAGTTTTCACTTGAAATATTGACTTGATATTTTGTGTAATATTAGTAATAATATTCACTGAATTTTTCAATTTTCCCAGTGTGATCAAACTTATTTGTTGGTGTCACTCAAAATCACTCTTTTGCATTCCCCATATAATCTTGTATTAAGGAACTTTCTTTTGGTCTATTATTGTCTGTATTACTTTATTTGTGACGTACTGTTTGTCTTTGTCTTTTTTAAAAATCAATCATGATATGTGAGTTGTCTTCTGTGTTTTGGTTCCCCTCTTTGATTGGTTGTTACAGCCTGTGGCTTTTGTATAAAGATGTGTTGTTTCACATTGTGAATTCAATGGCGAAGGGCCGGTACTGAAACACTGCGTCTCACATAAAAACAGTGCTGACGGTGTTTTCTGAAGACAAAGTTCATTGAATTATTGGTAAATTCACCTCTCTCTTTCTCCCCCTCTCTGCAGCCATCCTGGTCTACAGAGTATTTCGAAATGAGACCAAGAGGAACATTAAGATGCTTCATGGCATCATTCACCTGCTGGCCCTCATCATCAGCATCATAGGTAAGAGAGAGCTGTACGACGGTGTATGAGGGTCATTGTAGATAAAACAATAACGAAAAACGAATTACAGAGTCTGGAGAGAGGGATATTATTCTGAGAAAAAATATACAAGAAAAAGAAATTTGATATTCTCTGAGATTTAAGTGGTTAATTTACGAGAAAATACCCACAGATTTATGAGAAAAAAATCTCTAATATTCTCTGAGATTATAAAGGCATACATTCTGTTGTGTTGATCCAACCTTGTAAAGTAAAGCAATATGGTTCTTTGACAAAAAAGCATGTTTTTTTTTCTTGAAAATTTGTGACTTTAATCACAGACAATTTAAGATTTTTGTCTTGTAAATGTATGACTTTATAATCTCAGATTTCAGATTTTCTCTCTCGGAATATCTTTCCCCTCCCCAAGCTCTGTAATTTAAAAAAAGCCTACAATGGTTTTAATGTGGCATCGTAGGAATGTGTGTCTGTGAATGTGAAGAAGCTAATTCCAGTGTGTATTTCTGTGTGAGAGATCTTGAGAGAGAGAGATGGAGAGAAAAAGATACCCTAATCATTGTTTCTCTCTGTCTGTGTGTAGGTTTTGTAGCTGTGTTTGATTCCCACAGATCAGCAAAGATCCCAGACATGTACTCTCTACACAGCTGGTGCGGCATGGCTACCATGGTCTTATTCTGCATACAGGTACACACACACTCACACACAGTCATGTTTCCATCACTTTAGAGGACATTACATTGACTTGCATTCATTTCCTGGAGACTTTCTCTAACCCTAACCATAACGGTTACTTGCCTTATCCTAACCTTACCCTAACCTTAAACCAAGTCTTGACCCTAAAATATAAGGATTTACATTATTGGGACTTGCATTTTGTCCCCAAAAAGAAGGCGAGTCCCCACAATGTTGTTGTGTCAATAGGTCCCCATAACATGAGTAATACGAACCCACAAACACACACAAAGTGTAATATAGATTAAAACAGTAAACACTAACTTTTCATCCCTCCATTTCCCCCCCAGTGGGTGATGGGTTTGCTGTTCTTCCTGTTTCCTGTTGCGTCGTCATGGTTACGAGCCTCGTACCTCCCCATCCATGGGTTCTGTGGTGTGGTGCTGCTGGTTATGGCCATAGGGAGCAGCCTGATCGGCATCACGGAGAAACTCCTCTTCAGCATCATGTATGTCTTCAATCATGTCATTCAAACAAAACAAAAAAAGATAATTTTATAATTTATAATAATTTTTTTGAGATAATTGTCTCAAAAGCATTCTACCAGCACAGCGATACTACGGAGGTGAATGGGGTTTCCTCATTGTGTACGTCTCTCTCCATGTACCCAGGTCAACCTACTCTCTGTTCACCCCTGAGGGGGTGCTGGCCAACGTCTTGGGGATCCTGCTGCTGTGCTTCGGGGTGCTGCTGGGCTACATCATCACCAGGGAGGAGTACCGGCGTCCGCCGAATCCAGAGGAGGAGTCTCTGTCCGTCCACTTCAAGACCCTGACCGAGGGGGGGTCGCCCACTACACCTTAAACCTGAGGCTGACGTCTTAACACCGCCCCCCTCATCTTGATACAGTGTGCTGCCAGCAGACTAGCTGGTGTTACATGTCTCTGTTATTACCTAGTTACAGAAAATAAAAGTTTAGGTTTGGTTCAGTAAAATCAATAAAATCACGGACAAGCATTAATGACCAATCCGATCCATCTTAGATTGCTGAACAGACCAGTCAACTTTCACCCAAAAGGATTTATTTACACTTGATTTATTCTATTTCAGAATGAAAAAGAATAAGACAATTGTAAATGTAAAGGCGCAATGCAGTAAAAGGAAAATAGCATCGCAACAAATCAGATTTAATATATCTCTTTGATAGAGAAATAGCAAGGGGTCTGGCGCCTCCTCACTTCGTCTCAATCGAGAACCCAAGAAGCCCAGACTTAGCAATCACAGTTCCTAGTTGTCTCCACATTGAGCCCCAGTGGGAAGCTACATTTTTGAGGCAGCGCCGTGCCTACAGCTGCCACGCAGAAGTATAAATATATAAAAAGAGTGCCTGCAGCTCAGAAACTGTTTGTCCTGGAGTTGCTGCTTTTGGTCCTACAGTATCTTCGGTAGTATCTCTACTGTGGGATGAATGTTTTCGTAGTCCCAACAACATCAACAGAGTGATACGTCTTCTCCGGTAAAAATAAATCCAGCTGATCGATGTTAGGAGTTTAACATTCATGCACATCATATTGATTGTTTAAGTTTATCAATGTAATACTTCCAATCCAGGACCTTCAGTATTTTAAAGAAGCCCTGCGAGGCAAATGAGAAAAAGAGGTTTTGCCAGAATAATCTTTCCAATTGTTCCTTTCATTTTCTTTTCCATCTTTGAAACAGGTGGGGGGAAACAAGTTTTGCCAAGAACAATAGTTACTTTCTTTGCATCTGTGAAAACAGGTTTTAGCAGAGACTAAAAGCATGTATGTTTTCTTCCAGGTGAGTTTTAGTGTACATAACTTGATAACACTATATTACAATATATGAACCTCGTGTTTTAGAGTTAAAAAAAAGAATGGGGTAGTGGTGCATGTCAGCCTCTTGTGGTCAAAACGAGTATTACAATAATCGCACACTAATCTAGACAAAAGTCCCTTCAACTCACCGGCCAAAACTTTTTTTTCACCTGTTTCACAAATGAAAAAGAAAAGAGTTAATTAAACTTTGGAAAATGATCCTGGCAAAACCTTTTTTTTACTTGTTCTTAAGCCATAAACACTTAGAAACACATCTTAGAAAATGGATCACCAGAAAATCACTTACTTGCCGCTCAGTGCTTCTGTAGTATTTGGATCAAGTAGCTCCTGAAGAATCAGGTGTGCCAAATGTTGTATATCGAGCATCCTTGGCACAACAATGTCTTTTCTACTGCATTAAGTTGTTGCTTGAGTGTGCACTGGTAGGCTGTGTCATCTAGGTAAATATAAGTATCTGATTGGAGGGCGAAGAAGCCTTGATGCGGATATCCCCGCTTTTGTACAGTTTGACTCTATTACACACCAGAAGTCAAACTGATGCCAAACATCGCGCTCAAATTTGACCTCTCTCTTCTCTTCTCTTTTCCCAATTTTGATAAGTCACGGAGCATAATAATATTTATTAGTAAAACAAGCTTTTTTGGAAAATCATTTACATCACACTACTTTTGTGGGTCACAACACTATTTCTTGATCTCGAAAAACAAAGTCTGTCCTCTCATTTGATTTTTCCCACGGTATCTATATGTCCCAGATCTAAGTGAAGTCAGTACTGTTTGTCCACAATGCAAGATGCATAAGCAAAATATATTCCATTTGTCCATTAGTAAGCTGTTTGTATTTAAATGGACTGCCAAGTTAACATCTGTACAGTGTGTATTCAGTTGTATGTGATAAGAGTTTGGTTACTTGATGCACTTTGACCTAAGGATGTTAAATTCATATCTTTACTGTGTTTATCAAAATTAAATATAACAAGTATCTACAGTTTTTTTGGGGTTTTTTTTGGCTTGAGTTCAGGACTCCGCACTAGTGCCTAATACAAAGCTCTTACTGAACTTTGCTGAATGTTTTCTGTCTAATGTACTTCTTGATAGTGTCATATTTCAAAGGGAAGTCTTAATGAAAGGTAATGTAACCTGAAGTAAATAAATATGTGTGTAGCGGCTTGAAGTGTTTTGGTCCAGTTGTGTTTTTCACCCGACTCAAACTTCAGATATAAGCAAATTAAATAAATAAAATTAGAATCTGAATCAGAATTAGTTCCGTTTATTTCACCAGAGTATGTTGCACATACAAATAATTTTACATGGTGGATGATGCATAACATTAAACTATCAACACAGTGCAAAAAATAGACCCACCTCAACCAGCTGTAACATTACAAGTTTGACAATGTTGAAAAATTCACTTTCCTCCTGAGATTTAGAGAAGATCGATGCCACTCCTCAACATCTGTCTGTTAAATATGAAGCTACAGCTAGCAGTAGTTTAGCTTTGCATAAAGTCTGGAAAGAGAGTAGGACAGTGTGACGGACACGAAATGTATGGTCACATTTTTGTTTATTTGATGAATATCTGATAGAACTCATTTCTGTGATTTGCTAATCATAATAAAACTTATTTTGAAGTGTATTACTATATATGTCCAGTAGGTGGCAGTGCAGCGCTGTGGTTTTGCCTCGCAGCCCTAGACTTGTACGGTGCGCGTGCAGCGTCTCCTCATAGCTTGAGAAGACGTTGAATGAAGAAGCCACATGTTTGCCCGCCTCAATCATTTCCTGCTTTCTCAGGTTAGTACCTTGTAAAGTGCACCAAATGTGACAAATGAATTGGGGACCAATGTTTAGTGCACATGTTTATATATTACTTTGTGTTTCATGTGGTTGTTTAGTAGCTACGTTGTTTTAAGACTTGACTGTCGAGTGCTAACGCTAGCTAAACTGATAGTAGCCTTGCATTACGTTCCCATGTTTCTTTCTGGCTCTTACACTTTGTACTTTTTGTTTATAGTAAAGCGAATTGACTCTTTATGTTCTGGTAGGTCGTTTCATACTAAATATGTTAATTTATGTGACTGAAGGATGTATATGGGTGTTGTGCATGTTAGTTAGCATTCGTTAGCGGTTCGCTATGCTGTTGGAGCAGCCCCGCCATTTTAAACTGTCTTCCTCACGTACGCCACAGTAGCTGTGAGCATGTTGCAAAAGTGCAGTTAGGAAGGGTTTTGTCCCAAGCGACAACAAATGTGTTGATTAAACATAGTAATGTAACTTGTTAATGTAATGATAGTGGTGTAAACTTTGATTATCTTGTTTGAGACAATTTAATGTATTTTTCCTGTATATGCAATACTGAAGGAACATATACAGGAGATTGTTTTCACTTGGAAAAGTCTGAAATAAATATAGCTTGAGAAGACGTTGAATGAAGAAGCCACACATTTGCCTGTCTCAATCATTTCTCAGGCATAAATCTGTTATCAGGCTCTGTCAAGCTGGGACCTGTGACAACAGCTACTTTTAAAGCTCAATCATTAGCATGTTACTAACGCAGTTCCTGTTTGTGGCATGGCACCCCGGTTCTTGGCGCCACGTAGCTTGTCGGGGCATGTGGCAGTTTGTTAATATTGTATCAGAATAACGTGTCACGTGTCCAAATTGCACCAACTATACCCCAGCCACACACCGGCCAACTGTGATGTAGATCACATGGACAGTTAAAAAAACAATGCGAAAAACATCAAGTTGCGGTTTTATGGGGAATTATGTGCAGGACCATTTCTTGACTGGTAGCAGTATCTACCTGTAATCTTGTCCTCACCGCTGTATTAATCCATTATTGTAATATATGCCAATATTGCAATATAACCAAAGCTACTCTATTACAAATCATAATGCATCTAATGCTGTGCTAGCGAAGCCTCATTCTAACATGTGTGTGTCGTTGCAGTGTGATGTTCCCGTCCACCTGCAGGACAACCAGAGAGGAAGGAGTCTCCGCTCGCAGACAGTGTCCATGCTGCAGGGACGAGCAGGTGACGCATTTAGATCCTCATATTCAAATAGTTCACAGTGTGAATCCTCCAGAGAGTATTACAGGTTTTAGTTTGACATCCTCTCATGTGCTGCTCACCAGGTGCAGACTTTGACCCGCAAGCGCCGGCGCTCCGCTGCTACTGGAGACCGTCCCCAGAAGAGGAGGCGGAGCTCCGTGGCCCATCCTTCTAAACCTGCTGAGACTCCAGAGGTGTCGAACCGGGTCCCCTCTCCTCAGCCCTGCACCACAGCTCTTGACGTTCCTGTCTCTTTGTGTTTTCTCCCGAAGCCTCGGCGCCACCAGACCTGCCGGTTGCCTTCAGCGTGGCCCCCGGCCCTCCTCGACTCTACTGCACCACGATGGCCCTCTGATCCACAACTGCTCTGAGGAAGAGTACCAGCTACACCATCTGTGTCTGCACAGCTTAAACCTGGGACGTCTCATCAAGCAGAAGCTCTGGGAGAGACTGGACCGTCCCACGTTTACAGAGACAGTAGACGAAGACGGACGGGTGCACGTGGACGTCTCATACGGGGTCGGAGTTCATCCTCCGCAATATTTTGTGGACACTTCGGAAGAACCAAGATCTAAGACAAAATAATGATCAAATAAGATCAGAACTGTAAATATTATTGTTGGAAATGTTAAAGTATAATAGTTTAAGTTAAGTTAAAGAATTGTAGTTTAAGTTAAGTTAAAGAATTGTAGTTTAAGTTAAGTTAAAGAATTGTAGTTTAAGTTAAGTTAAAGAATTGTAGTTTAAAGAATTGTAGTTTAAAGAATTGTAAGTATAAGAATTGTAAGTATAAGAATTGTAAGTTAAAGAATTGTAAGTTAAAGAATTGTAAGTTTAAGAATTGTAAGTTTAAGAATTGTAAGTTTAAGAATTGTAAGTTTAAGAATTGTAAGTTTAAGAATTGTAGTATAAGAATTGTAGTATAAGAATTGTAGTATAAGAATTGTAGTATAAGTATAATGATTTGTAGTATAAGTATAATGATTTGTAGTATAAGTATAATGTATAATGATTTAAGTTAAGTAAAACACAAACAGCCTCTGAAAACCAGCTGAAGCACCTTCCTCCACCTACAACCTCCAACATCCGCCTACAAACTAAATAATCCACCTTGAGCTGCTGCCGCCTCCACCTGCAGGTGCTGGCAGACACCTGCCGCCTGAACCTTCACCTGCAGCCATCAACCTCGGCCTCCACCCAAAGACGCTGCCAGATGACTCTAGCTCCACCTGGAGCCTCCTCCATCAACCTGCACCGCTGCCTCCTCTCCTATCGCCATGTGAAGACCTGAGAGGAACAGCAGGGACCAGAGACACACTCGTAAATATCACCTCTCAGATAACAACCAGAAACATAGCTGTGTCATAACATGTCTGGGCTGATGAAGTAAAGCTGCATTCTGTTTACGTTCTCTTTACGTTCACGTTCTGTTTACGTTCACGTTCTCTTTACATTCACGTTCTGTTTACGTTCACGTTCTGTTTACGTTCTCTTTACGTTCCCAATAGGTTCCCTTTACATTCTCTTTGTCCTCACAGCTATTTCCACATGTTGACTGATTGAGATGCTGAACTTCATGGACCAGAGAGAGCTCTTCTTCCTCCCACTCAACTCAAGGTAGAGTTGATCATCCGGATGTTCAGCAGTGTGAGATATTTGGTAGTGTCTCAGTGTGTAGTCATGCTTCTTCAGTTCATCTGATTGTTTTAATGGAGGCTTGTTGATGCGTGTTACTTCAATACAACACGTGTTCTTTGTGGTTTCCTCCAGAACCTGTTGGACTTCACAGACTTCCAGATCTACCAGGAGCTGATCCAGAGCCGACGAGGAGGATCCCTTCTACCAGAGCTGTGTACTAGAGATGCTCCTTCCTCCTCCACATCCTGCACATTCACCACCGACTCCTGCTGCTCCTCTCCCAGACTGAGGGAGCCCAGCCCCTCCCTGTCTCAGTTCCACCACCGCCAGATTAGTGGAAGTCTGAAGGATGCAGAGACGCTCAACCGGAGACTTTAGAGCCTCACGCTTCCAGCCGTGCTCGCTAAATAAAGACGGCCAGTTAGCTGGCTCTGTTACTGTGTACGTGTGAGCCTGTTTCTAATTAAAGTCCATCATTCTGTTTAGTCATCGGATCAGTCGATTGAGTCCACATAAAACAGACACGTTCATATTAGAGATCGTAGTCAGTTTCTTTATGTTTAACTTCAGTTTGCCAGCAGATATATTTACTTACTTTTTACTTTCTGATAAATGAGTTGATATGAATCATTTAATGGTTAAAAATGCTTCATAAATCATCATGTCTGCAGTTAGAAACATCAGTAGTCATTAATAAACGGTCTGGAGTTTCTCAATTCCTAATGAGCCATCAGCCAACCAGAATAATATTTAATAAATCATTAATAAAGAATTCTGTTACACATTCTATGAAGGTGGTGTCTATAATGCTCTATAAGCACAATCATAACATGTGTCTATAAATCTTCATAAGGCATCTATAGGATAATCTCATCACTGGTATCAAGTCATCACATGTGTCTCCTGCATTAAGTTGACACCTGTGAGACCAAATCTGAAGAAACGTCTTCAAGATCTTTTTCTTTCTGGCTGCTTTCAGTAGATATTCTGGATCTTTCGCTGGTCGTGTTGTAAGAACAATCAGTCTATTGAGAAGGAAACTCGTTTGATTGGAACTTTTTTTTTTACGATCCACTGATTTGATATCAAAGTCTTTCAATTCTTCACAATGTGTAGTTGTCAGGAAGACCTTCTTTCAGTGGTCTCTGATTAACACTGCCTGCAGTCATCAGAGTCTTCCTGTCAGTGGGTTTAGTGGTGAAGTTGAATGATCCAGAACTGAAATTTGTGTCAAACTGTTCAAATACATTTTGAATTCTTCCAGCTTTTCTAACTGAAGTCAAGACAAATGTCAACATATCAGTCCCAAACTGTGATGTAATGACCACAGAGGTTATTGTGTTAAAGATGATCCATTTTAAAAAGGACTCATCAAAACTAAAGAAAATCTCTGAAAATCATCAGACAACATGTTAAGCTGAACTGTTTGGATACAACTTGTTGTATTTCTTATTTCAACCACAAGATGGTGCCATGATATGTGAAGCATACACATTAATGTATCATTAATGCAGGTGATACATGTGATCTTGTGATCACCAGTGATGTGATTCTATTATTATAAGATGCCTTGTTATGTTTGGAAATGTATATAAAGTGGTTTGTAACTTAAAGTTGTTGCTCGGCCTCTGAAGAAGACGCGTGTGGAAACGTTTCATCAGTTTGGCTCTTTGCATGAAGAGGTTCTCGATATAACTGTTGGGATAACTGAGACAAAAGGACAAAACTAATTCATATTATTAATATGATTCATATTATCATTATTAAACATTGTAGGAGACGCTGGTAATGATGCACACTGTTTGGCTAATGGATCAGGTAGACTACTACCGACTCAGTTCATCTAGTCATAAATACATTCAAATCACTGCCCGACTTACTATGTTTTATCATATTATATTATTATGTCTTTTATCAAATAATTCTTATCAGAAATTCATATCAATCAGCCCCAAGCTTTGATATTGGATGTTTAAATATAGCCAATTAACAATAGGCTCTCAACTATAAAGTACTTGCACCTTTATATTTTTTTATGTAAATAATATCTTATATTATATATAACTTATTTTATATGTTATCTATACGGAGGGTGCTGCTTTGTTATCAGACCGTGAGGTTTCAACTCCTCCAGTTTTTAGGATTACATGCTGCATATTCCTGAATTGGATCATAAACATGTTAACAGCTTATTTCACTGTCCCCAAATGGCAGATACATAAATAAGCTGTATTTCCAATTAGTGCATGACCGCAAAAGATGATGCATCCACGGTAGAAACCACCAGAGGGGGGGCAGATTTACACATCTGTTTTATTCCTCTTTGTAATGTTCACATGAGCTGACACATTCCTATCGTTTTAAATGTTTAAAAATCATGTTCCTGTTGCTGTAACCGTGCTGGGTTTTAAATATGAACTTATTTTACACAGTGAAAAAAAGCCCCCAGTGAACCAGCTAGCAGGGACCACACCGGGGCCCATCAGCAGGTCGAGGGGTTACATTCTACATGTAAAGCACAACACATTGTTTTATTGTGAGAAAACACAGCTGTCATCGGGCAAATCAAGCACTATGACGAGCCGTTTACCACACTGTATTGATTTAAAATTTGTAACTATTTTTTAACATCTAATTTCTCTCTAACTATAGCCAGGGTTAGATGCCACAGCCAGCAGTTTCCACATCCTCTCACAGCTGGAGGCCCCTGAGCAGAATAAAGGCAGCTCACAGCCAGATGTCAAGGTCTTCATCAGCAACTCTGAAACCAAGCTGCTGAGTCATTAGAAACATAAAAAGAAAATGTACAAAAACAGGCATTCATGTGCATCAAATACATTAAAATAAAAAAAGAAAGCTTCATCCCTCTTTCTGAATTTCCATCTTTGTCGAACCCAGACTCAAAAACTGGCCCCTGTAAATTGTTAGCTAACCTCCTCCCCTTGGTACAGACAGACGTCATCTTTCCATTCTCACACATATTAACCACTTGAATAAGTTTGTAATATTTGTAACGATGGGTCTTTGATTGCAGAGGTAGATAAATGCGGTTTTCTTATTTCTATCCCACAACCGTTGCATTTGCCATCTGAACATGAGAGCGTGCATTAGCTGCAGCTAGCTAAAGGCCCTTTGAGTCACAACGGGATTTGCGCTGCGCTCGCCACTGGGGGTCCACGCACATCTGACAACGTGTTCGCGGAAGTCGTGGAGTACGGAGCGTAATTTATTTTTTAAAAACTTTTACTTTGTTGTCGCCAGCAACGATAATGCATTGGTCCCACGCTAAGAAGCATGCGCTAGCGCTAGCCCTGCTAAGCACAACTGATACGCCGAATCGGTTGTAAATGTGTTTCGGGGCTTTACCGACAAAGGTCTCGATACAAACTCAGACTTAAAGTAAAACCCTTATTTTGCTCAATGCAGCTAGAAGCCGCCGTGGCGCGACGCAAGCCATTAGAAAGAATGTGATGCAGAGCGCAGTGGCGCCGCATTGTGCCTCAAAGTGTCTCAATCAAGCAAACATTAACTCCATCACACCTTTTACCAGCGAAATCTTTCTAAAACGAGACTCTTGCAAAAGCGATGGTAAATCTGCACTAAACTGCTGCATACGTGATATGGTGCTAAAAAAACTAGGCATTTGGTTTAGTTTTAACTCTACAAACTGATGTAGTTATAAAATGCTGCTTGGTCGAGGACGTAACGCTACTGCAGTGGTAGTTAGCCTGGCATGATGTCACAACTGACAGACGCACTGTTAAAGTATGGATTCTCCAGCAGCACTTCAACAGAACACACACATCCAGAGCTTTGCTGTGCCTAGCAACAGTTGCTGAACTCTGATTGGACAATCACTGTTTTGGGGGAGGGGTTAAAACCAAAGGTGAGTTTATTGAGTTACAGACAGTAGAAGGAGCCAACCGAGTCAACGTGTTGTATTAGTTGGGATCCTTGTAGTTTGCATAAAGGACCTTTATGACTACATAATACAAAAAAACTAAAATAACTGAAAAAAATTCAATAACCTTAAAAAGGATTTTTTTTTTTTTACAGGATTTTTATTGGAAAACATGTAAACCCAAAACTGAGCAAAGTTGAACTGACTTTGCTTTTTATTTTTTATCTCTTTGAAATGTTCTGTGAAAGACCCTCAAAATGAACATATAAAATCCAAAAGGAATATACAGTTAGAGAAACAATATTTGTACAGCTTAATACAGATATAACTTAAAAAAGATAAATATCACTTAGTTTTTGTTTTATATACAGCAAGCCAGTGCTTATGCAACGACAGCATCATTCTAGTTTCTCAAACTATGGCTTGGGGCCGGAACCTCAGTGGCACGAGTTTTAAAGTGTTGAGTCATTTCCATGTTAGCGCTTCATTTACGCAGCAGACAAAAGGTGGTAACGGTGGATTTGTGTCTAGAGTAGAGTATCCGCACCTCTAGTGCAGTGAGGGCAATTCAGAGACTTCAGTTTTGAAATATACTGTAAGCCAGAGATGTACACAGAGGGAGGGAAAGTTTTTATTTTTGTGCTTCCTGTCTTTTTTTGAGTTTACTTCTAAATTCTCCCAAATCTTCCTCTTCCCCTATTGTGCTTTGTAATGGCAAGAGCACTCTCGTCCTTCCCTTACTCCCTTTGTCCTTGCGATATGTTCCTTATCAAACATGTATGTTTAACTTCTGCTTTCCTCTTAACTCTCCTGAACAATAAAGGAGTCAGTACGTCTGCTGACAATCTTAGCGCGGCCATTGGCCAGGTGTGCGGAAGTGAAAACGTACGCAGGATTTGAAATTCTATCTCAAGCTACCTTTTCCTTCAGTCACATTTTGTGTGTATGAGGGCATGCAAACCAAAACACCGGGACTTCCTTCAAGGAGAGTGTGTGCTGTTTATTGCGCTTTTCCCCTCTGACTTTCATATGAACTGCATGTGGTACAAACTGCTTCATTCAAGCGTAGCCCGATCTTAATAATTCAATAGCCCCGGTGACTACTGGAATATATGAGTGCACTCATTTCTTTTTAACCACTTTATTAACCCTCCTCCCTTGTCTTTACTTAACGTTTAAACCTTTCTCTACACATTGGACTCTACAAAGGGTCTTTTTGGTTTGACAGGAGAGGTGGGTCCCGGCTTTCTGTCACTTGGTCTGTCCGAGCAGCTGTGGATCACCGGCAGCGTTCTGGCCAGCTTCACATCCAGGTAGGAGGGGTTCTGACTGGCAACTTGCACTGAACGTTCACCCTGAGGATAGTAGTCCGGCTGGTTGTCGTTGTGGGCGTTGTTGTTGCTGCGGTTGTGGTAGGCGATGGAGGATGGCTGGGGTGGACCGAAGCCTCCTTGACTGGTGGGGGTTTTGCTGGGCGAGGTGACGACTGTGTCCACTGAAGACACGGCCCAGGAGCGAGAAGGGCTGAGGCAGGACGCAGAGCTGGAGGGAGCTTGTTGTTGATACTGCTGGTGGCCCCTCGCGGTCCTGTCGCTGACGCCCATAAAAGGAGTGTTCCTCGATGACCGGCCTGCCTCTCCGGGATAAGTCCCGCCTCCGGCCATGTATGTTTCTGACTGGGGAGAGGAGATCAGAAAGAGGTCGTCGTGGTAGCCAGTAACCCCTCCCACGGAGGCCAGATTTGCTGGTGCTTCCATGTGCTGGACCGAGGCTGACGTCCTGAAGCTTGGGCCGTGATTGGCGGGCTGCCCGCCAGCAAGGCTGCCGCTGCTGGTGGAGAAGCGGACGCTGATACTCTGGGAATGGACAAGAGGCCTTGGGGGAAGAGCGGGGGAGGAGGTTGGGTGGGCACTGAGCGGGCGTTGTAGTCCCCCCTGATGGTGGTATTGGTAATCGTGCGATAGTGGAAGGCTATCAGGAGTCCCCATTGACGCCTCGGTAACTTCTATTGGGTAGTATGCTGCTTTGGATTGGTTGCGACTGAAGTGACGGGCCTGGCCAAACCGATTCATCCCCGCCCTCTCCCCTCCTCCTTCTCTCCCATAGGCAGATGCAAGTCTTGCCTGGCAAACAAAGTCAACGTCTACATCATCCAGGGGATACGATCCAGAGCTCAGACCAGCCTGGACCTGCAGGCTAGGCCTGACATCCAAGGGGCTCGGGCAAATGCCTTCCCCCAGCTCGGCCAGTTCTTGTGGCAGTTGGCCAAACTGGGAGTAAGGAGAACTTCCCAAAAGCATGCTGGAATGGGAAGCGGAACTGGGCTGACTGGTTCGGACAACCTGGACTTGGGCTGCTTGGAGCCACTGGCCTTGAACGGGGATCTGCTTTTGGAAGGATCTTTGATTGGACAGGTGGTGGTGTTGCTGCTGCTGCACCCCCTGGATCTGGTCTGAGTGGTGGTGTGCTGAGACGGACTGCGGATGGTAGTGCAGGCCTCCATTTCCTGACAACGCAGGCATACTTTCTGACATTTGGCTGGGTCGCTGTGGCGGGATGAAATGGTGGTAGGAGGTGGACTGAGGAGGAGGCGCAGGGTGACAGGGGGAAGAGGAGGAGGGGGAGTGCGCGGGGCTCGGGAGGTGACGATACAGGTGAGTGGGGGAGAGGGAGGAGGGGGATGGCACGCCAGGGCGGCAGTGGGTGTCGAGAACCACAGGTGGAGGGTGGAAGGAGGAGGGGTGACGATGAGCATCTCCTTCCCTTTGACTCTCCTCTTCTTCTTCCTCCTCTTCCTCAGTAAGCCCCTCCCTGTCCTGCAACTGCAGACAACCTGAGTCTCTGCACCTGGCCTCGTTGATGGACATGGCCGCATTTTGTTGATAAACGGGATGTGACGAAGAAGGGGGAGAGTCCTGTTGCTGTGCGACCTGCCGACACTCATCCTTGACCCGGGACAGCAGGCGCTGGATCTCCCGGTTGAATGGGCTCAGGCGGCTGGCCTCAATCAAGTCCTCCAGGGCAGCGTGGAAATGTCTGAATGGTGAGAGAGAGCACAAGCATGGAGAGGAATAAGATTTCAGAAGATGACCAAACAGTTCTGGGGACTCCCTGAGAGGAACTGCCAACTGGGGAGCTCCCCCTACATACTTTTAAGTGCTCTTTCTCTGCTCACCACACCAATAGCAATAGTGACATAACCATAGACAGTATATAAGAAGTGGACGTAGTTGTCATGACATCACCCATTGGTTTGAGTGCCGTTTTGAAGCCTCGAGTTCGGCATTGCGGTGGTCGCCATCTTGGATTACGGTCATCGCCATCTTAACTTTTTGCAACCAGTGATTGGAAGTTACCAGATTTGGACTATTGAGGAGTGACGTAGAGACACTGTGTAGACAGGGCTCTGGCAGAAGTGGCGACCTGTCAATCGCAAGGTAGCCCTGCCCTAAAAGCATACCCTGCTTTATGGTCTATTTGACTCTAAATTGATCATAATTTACTAAATGAACATCATGCTGTATTGAAGAAGACTTGAAACTAGAGATTGAGACCATAAACTCATGTTTACAATGTTTACTGAGGTAATAAATCAAGAGAGAAGTAGAGTCATTTTCTCATAGTCTTCCATACAATCACACTTGTTCTGGTCATTGAAGCTATTTGAAGGAATGCCTTCCACAGGGGTTTTATCTTCAGAAGAGGAGGTTTGCTGCCTAGTCAAAAGGCAATTACACACTAATATTTCGTAGTTTTGTAGTTTAGCATGACTGAGGTAGTCAGTTTCCTCAGGACAACTGCCCAAAACATTCATATCCTTCAGCTGGATGTTGATTAAAAAAACCCGCCTATTACATGAATGCACAGTTCATCTAAAGGGAGCAGTTCATGATTTTGTTAGGGTTTGTCCTTATGTCGCTATGGTTACCTGTGTCCACGTTTGGCGCGGGCTCGGGCATAAAAGGCTTCGTAGGATTTAGCTTTCAGCTCGAGAGCCCTGGTGGCAAAATCCTCCGCCAGGCCAAAATCCTGCAAGTAGATAGAAGAGAATTCACGACAATGTGTCAGAAGGTCGGGTCATTTTTAGACCACGAACTACAAATGATGTGATGATTCATCTCCAGTGTGTGCCTCTGTGTGTAGGAGAGAGATGGAAAGAGACTCACGTTCATCTTGCGGTGGCAGCGAGACAGGTTGAGCAGCACGCACACCCTCAGCTGTCTGGACGACTTCAGCTCGTCCCCGGGAAACTTCTGGAGAGCCGACTGATAGGAGTGAGCAGCTTCCCTCACTTTACCTTGCTACAAATACACACACAGAATACTTACAATATCAGATAAATGTGTGTGTATGTGTGTACATCTGATTAAATGTGAGTTTGCTGTGTGTTACCTTGTACAGTCGGTCTCCCTCTTGGATCAGTTTACTGAGCAGAACCATTAAGATGTCTGGTTTAGAGGTTGCCATGGCCCAGGTGGCTGGTCCTACACACACACACACACAGACGCACATTTTATTACCTCTGCAAAGAAGATTACTGTAGGTGTTCACTCCTATTTCTATGAGTTGGCAGTAAAACACTTTAATTTTAAAACATGTTATTCATTCATATATAACATTTTATGTTTTGGCTTTTAACCACTGACGGTCAAAAGCAAAAGTGGATTCCTTGGTTCCACACAAATCAGCAAGATCCATGCCCTTATTCCTCTTAACACATTTACCACCATCTTGACTTTTTTCATTTGCTTTCTCTCTAAAAATGAGGTGAGAAGATGGATACCATTCTCTACACTTCTGTATGGTAAATATGAAGCTACCGCCAGTTAGCTGAGTCATGTATCTACCTATCTTGGCTCCCTTTTTGAGCAGAGCGATGACTGCCGAAGTGTTTCTGCAGCCGACCGCCCGGTCGAGAGGACGCATCCCGCTGCAGTCCACATGCTCCACCGACGCACCGTGATCCACCAGGTGCTGCACCTGATGCAGAACAGGACACAAAGAAAGGCAACATGTTTTAGTGATGTAAAAATACTTGTGATGTTCAGATTTCTTAGCTAAAATATTTTTTGCTTATGTTATCAATTAATATTAGTAATAATAATATGAGGAAAGCACCCATTTAGCTTAGAGTATGGCAGTGGTGGGCCGTCAGGGCCTGCAAGGCCTTCTCTGCTGGCCTAAACAGAATCACAAAGCTATATATATTTAAAAAAAAAAAAAAAAAAAATCTATTTTATAATTTAATAATTTTTCTTAAATACACTACATGTATTATAATTTATAAAAATATTTTTCCTATTATCTTATTTTCTCATTGCACAGCTACTGTCTTCCTCAGTTGCTCTGCTTCCAGTGCAGCTTGTTTTAAGTTGAGCTTTTATCCAATCAGATTTCACCTCTGTGTCTCTAGGTAAGAACAGAGGCCCCAGGCCTGCAGAGTCTCACCTGCAGCCAGTGCAGATTAAAGTAAATGGGGACGATATTGTTGATTGTCATAGTGTTCAACCAATCAGATCTTTAGTTTGACATGTTGGGCGTATTCTTATTCTTATACATGCCGCCAGTGTCGTGTGTAGCTTTCCCGCAAGGTACAGAGTGTGCTGTGATTGGTCAGTGGGCGAGCATGTGACTATCGTGAAACGAAACTTAACAACCAACAGAGGCTGATGGGTAGTGAATCACATCACGTGATGCAGCTCAGCCAATCAAAATGCATTCTGACTGAGTGAGATGCACCATGACAGAGGTACCTGAGCCGAGGAAAGACATTGCAGAGCAGTACGATCAATGCTGAAGTTGAGAAAGTAAAATCCTATAATAATGTCTTTGGGTTGCCACTTGTCATTAAGGAATGACTGTGGATCCCACAGCCAGACCAGCTGAGAACATTATATTTTCCTGAATTTAAGCTTTTGCATTTTCTAAATGCTCTAGTGTTATTCAAACGACTCGTACTGAACGGTTTAATACGAAGATGTACATAGTTACAGCCTTAAAAATGAACAACAGCTGTGGCGCCACAATGTGGTTATAAGGTGGTATTTCAGCTGCAGGACAGCAGTGAAGGCCCAGGTATAAAATGCATGGCCCGCCACTGGAATATGGACACATCACAGACTCTGCAGGACAGGTAAGGCAGGGGCCGACACATTCATTTTATAATCTGGTAAATATGAAAACTGCAGTTTTACACACCACTTCTGGGTCACCACGGAACGCAGCCAGATCCAGAGGTGTCCGTCCACTGCGGTCGACGTGGGTTGTGGCTGCACCTCGCTCCACCAGCTCTCTGACCAATGGGAGCTGGCCTTTCAGACACGCCCAGCTCAGCGGAGTTAAGCCTTCCCTGTCAGTCTGGTCGAGAGAGGCTCCTAAAGACAGAGAGAGAGAGAGATTAATCTCAGTGTACATTAGAGTCGTATGCATGGATGGCGCCCCTATGGATGGATGAAGCCGCTAATGATGGATGGATTGCACCCCTATGCATGGTTGGCGCCCCTATGCATGGATGGAGCCTCTATAGATGGATGGGGCCCTTATGGATTGATGGAGCCTCTATAGATGGATGGCACCCCCTATGGATGGATGGCACCCCCTATGGAGGGATGGCACCCCCTATGGAGGGATGGCATCCCCTATGGATGGATGGCACCCCCTATGGATGGATGGCACCCCCTATGGAGGGATGGCATCCCCTATGGATGGATGGGGCCCTTATGGATTGATGGAGCCTCTATGGATGGATGGCACCCCCTATGGAAGGATGGCACCCCCTATGGATGGATGGGGCCCTTATGGAAGGATGGCACCCCCTATGGAGGGATGGCATCCCCTATGGAAGGATGGCACCCCCTATGGATGGATGGCATCCCCTATGGAAGGATGGCACCCCCTATGGAGGGATGGCATCCCCTATGGAAGGATGGCACCCCCTATGGAAGGATGGCATCCCCTATGGAAGGATGACGCCCCTAGCATTTCACTACAGCACCAACACCTAGGGCCGACTCTGGTTGCACCTATTGTTGATGCGATTGTTAATACTGTCAATGCTAGGGGGGTACCATGATCCAGTAGCAGCTGGGCTGTGTTCATATGTCCCTCCGAGGCTGCCGTCATCAGGGCTGTTCTACCCTGCTGGTCCACCATGTTCACCTCCACCCCGTGACTCAATAAGAGCTCCACCACCTGAGCGAGAGACACAAACGGAGACGGACGCTCAGCATTTCTGGAACATTAAAACGTGTTTATTCTATGTGTGTGTGTATGTGTTCTGTGTGCTCCACTGTACCTGCAAGTGGCCACGTCTCACAGCGCTGAAGAGGGGAGCCATACCCCGCCTGTTGCATTGCTCAATGGCAGCCCCCTGATCCAACAACAACCGGCAGACAGCCAGCCTGCCGCTTCCTGCCGCTGCCGTCAGAGCTGACACAGAGACACAGACAGATACACACAGTTGGAGACAGGTTTCCTATATGCACACATGCACGATCTTAAAATCGATCTCAAAATCCTATGAAATGGGGGTCCGTGCTCTAATTTTTTTCAGTTTAGGGGTCCTTTGAGGTGAAAAGCGCTTGGGCACCACTGTGTTACAGCATGAGAAGAACTATTACAAATATATTCTTTAAGGTAGATTTTATTTCAACCAAATAAGACAAAAAACACTAATATTATATAATATAAGAAATTGATGTTCCAGAAATAAAGGAGACAATGGTGTGTGTAACTTGAGTGAGTCGCAATTCTGAAGAAGAGAAAAATGTTGTGAGACGATGGGGAGACATACAGGACTCCATAATATGTTGCACTATTAGAAGGACAGATTAAAGAATAATGAAGGGTGTGAAGACAACCAAATTACTTACTTTCACTAGATTTGAACACTAGATTTAGTTGGCCGTTAATTTAAGTTGGACTTGATATATTTCATTATTCTCAAGTAAGTTTTTACAGCTTCTGTAAGACCAATACAGATTGATTATTTTTGTTCTGAACCTGGTAGGGCTGCACGATTATGGCCAAAATCATAATTATCACGATTATTCATTAATTTTAGGGACATCTTTTTATTGCACTGTCACGTTTAAATGAACAAGAACACTGCTTCCACTTCCATTGTTGTGCTACATTCAGGCTAATGTACAAATCTTTGCATCAGACTGGTCCTTATCACAGTGCGTCTCGTAGAAGGAAAATATAAATAAAATAGTATCAACACTTTTTACCCAAAATTAAATCAACAGAGCACTGCTTTCACTTCCATGTTGTGCTACATTCCAGCTAATGTACACGTCTCTGCATCAAAATAAAACGTATCACCTGAAGCAAAATATAAATTAAATGTTTACCCAAAATAAAGGGCTAACTAAAAATAAATATGTGTGTTGCTCACAGTATTTATTGGACACATGTCTTTGGCCAAATGAAATGCGATTGCATCCGTTATTTCAGTGTGTCTTTGGGAGGTGGATGGATACGCTGTCGCGCTGTGCAGGGTCGCTGTTATGGTTTTCTGGGTTGACGTTGGACATGGACGTAGATTCAGTGAGGTAACGTTAGCTTTGGCCTTAATGCATTCGTCGTACTGTGGTGTGTGGTGATTTTTCAGGTGGTTGAACAAGTTAGTTGTATTGCTATGCGGCGCAGACACAACTCGAACGCACTCTGTGCATATGATTTGTTCTTGGTTAACATCACTTGCCCTAAATCCAAAAAACTTCCAGACAACGGATGATGATCCTGACATTTGATTTAGCTTTCACACGACACCCGTGACCGTCTGTTCTGTTGTCTGTCTCTCTTCTACTAATAGCGGAGTCGACTGCAGACAGAACTTTTTTTGAGGCTGCCGCTGCAGGGTGCGCGCATGACGCCTCCCATCTCGTTCGCCCCCTGGTGGTTGGCTGACTGTTAGTTGAGGAAGCGCTTGATTTGATATGTAGCAGAGCACGCATTTTAAACGTCAATATCGCTGACGATCATGCTCATTTAATTGTGGCAGCCAAAATCGTGATCGCAATTAAAATTCGATTAATTGTGCAGCCCTAGAACCTGGTAAACTGAGGCTTCTGTGTCGTAGGGCGAGATTTGTACCGTAGTGCTCAGCCTCCACCACTAGAGGACATTGAAGGGTAGCACAGCAGCAACTGACTAAAAGTATACTTACTTTGTGGTAGTACTGTGAATGCCAAAAATGCAAAAGGTGATCCAGTCAACCCTGACAATGCAAGTCAACTTTTCACTGACTGTATTGTGTTGCAAGATATATACAAATATGTAACATTACATGTGACTTCGGCTTTGATTCAGTTGACTTCCAGCAAATCATTCGGAGTCCTGCAGTGATGTACTTGTACTTGTACTAGTGATGTACAAGTGGGTTTAGTTTTGTCTCATCTTTACACTGTTGTAGTGCAGGATACATAGGTTATTACAGGCTATAGTTGTATATGTGCAGTGGTGCAAACTCATCAGGAGAGAAAAAGGCGACAAAGATTTGAACCCACTCGGGGAGTCCTGATGTTTTTTTATTTTTGAAGTATCAGTTTTGAAATGTGGATTTATAGTTGATTTTAGCATGACGATAAAGTGATAAAAAAATCACCCTCGAATTAATGTAATCTTACTTCTATAAAAGAAATGTAAGGACATCAGGTTAGAGCACTTGAACAAATGCTACTTGACATGAACCCCACCCGGAAGCACCAGGGACAGAACGACAAGGGGGAAGAAAGGCAGAGGACTACAGTTTTGATGCCTCAAGCCTTTGGCATTTTGGCCGTCGCCATTTCGGTTTTTGGTCGTCACCATCTTGGTTTTTGGCCTAACCCTAACCCGCTTCATGGTCTGTCTCTAAATGCACCATAATTTACGAAATGAACATCATGCTGTATTGAAGAATACTTGAAACTAGAGATTGAGACCATAAACTCATGTTTACTGAGGTAATAAATCAAGAGAGAAGTAGAGTCATTTTCTCATAGACTTCTATACAACCGGAGGAGTCGCCCCCTGATGGACATTAGAGAGAATGCAGGTTTACGACACTTCAGCATTGGCTTGACTTTTCCGAACCTGAAGTTGCTGCCTGTTGTGGCCTAGGGCTTTGTGAACACTGTAATCCACCACTCCCCTTAAGTAAGATAAACTGCAGCACTTTATTATGTATATATATCGGATCTTCATAGCTATTATGTTTAATACATTTGTAATAAATATACAGATCAGTAAATTAGTAAAAATCTGATCAAATCAGTAGTATTATTGCAGTATTAGCAACAGTCCTGAAGTATCAAAATACCCATGGTATCAAAATATTAGTAGTACAGACTAGTGGCGTAGTATTCGTGCAGCGTGAACATTTGCTGTAGACAGTTCTTGCAGTACCTGTCTCTCCCCACAGACTGTCGGGTGTGTTGATCTCAGGTCTCTCCTCCTCTTCCTCGTCTTCCTCCGGAAGATCCAGGAGGTACGACACGATCTACACACACACGGCACAGTAACGACCGTTACAAACACATCACGAATAGAAGATCATGATTCACACCATGTTAACACCATGTTATTAAAGTGTGTGGTGCGTGTGTAGGTGACCTCGGCGTGGCCCGTGCTAGCCGCCGCGATCAGAGCCTGCTGCACCGCCTGGCACCGGCTCGCGCAGCTCCAGTCCACGCGCCTCAGCAGGAAGCGCAGCACCTCGAGGCGGCCTCGCTGAGCCGCGTGCACCAGCACGCACCGGCCCGAGCTGTCCACGTGGCCCGCCTACAGGGCGCGGGGAGAGAGAGAGAGAGAGGCTTAGAGGAGGCGCCCTGTGCACCTGAGACATGGAAAGCTTGTTTGCAAGTTGGGTATTCTACCTAAACACCTACAATAAACTACCGTACTGACGGGCTGGGCTAATGGGATGCAGAATTGTTGAGAGACAATGGAAATCTGTCGCACCGTTCTGTTTGAACTCATCCAACACGGCAAGTTATTTACGAGTCGTATTAAGACTCTTAGGACACAAAGACCTGTTTTTGAAGACATGAATTCCATTTGTTTTATTATTTCATTATTCTAAATGTGGTTAATTCTACTATAGGGATTCAAATGCTGGTCTTCTATATTGGCATATTTCTCAAATAATCTCAATATTAGAAATTGAAAAGGGAAACAATAAGTTTACTAGGTAACCACAAAGTAATGTCAGCATTACAATAAAGAATGTTGTCGTAAAATGAGTAAGGTTAGCATAAAAATAAGAAAGGTTAGCAAAAAATAAGTAATGTCGTAAAATAAGAAATGTTAGCATTAAAAAAATAATGCTAGCATAAAAATAAGTTAGGTTAGCATGAAATTAAGTAACGTTGTCTTATGAATAACTAAAATAATGTTAGCATGAATGAAATTCTTGATGTTTGCCTGCCATACAAGTATAGCAGCACAGAAGCCCACTCATTCTGGATGCTATATTAGCAGCGTCAGCGTGTATGAAAATCCTGCTGTTATGATGCAAAAAGCTCATATTAGATGACTGCAGTGACTAAAAAAAGTCAGGTATTTTCATCAAAGACACATGAACAATATTGGTTACTGACACATTCACATGGGCTTCTTCAGATGAAGCGAGAGGGCAAAGAAAGGTTCAAAAAGGTGGATGAGAATCCTTGGGTTACAGCTAAAGCTGGGGTAGTTTTATTTTGGCCTCATTGGGGAAAAAATCTATACTAACCTTTCAGCTTATTGTAGCGAAGAGCATTTCAGAGATGGAGAGAAAACGTTGCTAACATTTTAGCCTCCTGCTAACCCGAGGCTCACGGCTGCTCGGCACATCAACGCATGCTTTTTCCAAACTTGCATGAATGTTCAAATAATCCAAAACATGCATTTTTTTATGCTACTATTTCAAGCAGACATAGGTGGTCCATTATTGTGACTTTCAGGAATATCAGACCGTAAATAAATTATGCAAAAATGCAAAGAAATCCAAACTGTTCACTTTCCATTTCTTGGCATGTACTTCATTTGATGTACTTTTAAATTGATTGTGTGCTGACGAACCTGTATTGTAACACTATGTCATATTATTGTTGGTGTTTTTATTTGTTTATGGAGATGTAGGGGGTTGTTGGTAATGGCTGTTCTAAATTTGTCATAAGTAATGTTTATACCTCTGCTGCAACTGATCTCTTCATATAAATACAAATAAAGAGGAAGAAAAAAGAAAAGACAAAAACATTTTCGGAGACGCTGTCATTCTTGATACGACCACTGGATGACACTGAAGTACACATTTTACATTTCAAAGTGTAAACTCTGCACATGGTGGCTTTAAATCTTCTAAGTCACAACATCTAGAAAGGTAGACAGGCACCTTAGCTTTGTGCTGACTCAGCATGCTGACGATGTCCAGATGTCCAGCCGCTGCAGCGAATCCCAGTGCGGTCAAACGGTCCTGTGACTGAGCATCCACCTGGCAACAACACAGAAGCAACACGTTTGGTTGCGATACTGGCACAAACTTCCGATCACAATGTTTCCATACAAAAATGTAAAAAAATATAAATATATATTTTTGTACCTGAGCTCCGAGGTCGAGCAGCAGCGCCACAGCATCGCTGTGGCCCAGGTGAGCGTGGACACACAGCAGGGGGGCGTTGTTGAGGACATCGCTACGGAAATCCACATCAGCCCCCCCCATAATCAGCAACCTGCTCACCTGTACGAGTAGGGATTCAAGTTACATTCCACACGTACTAGCAAGTGTGTGTGGATGTGTGTGTAAAATGTTACCTTGATGTTGGGGGTGTAAAGGTTGCGCAGCGATGAGAGAGCAGGGCTCAGGCTCTCCGTGCTGTAGGACAGCCACAGCCCCTGCAGAACTGAGGAGGAAACCCCAAGCTTCTTACTCAGACCCTGAGGAGACGAGAATAGATGCCACAGAAACAAAATTATTAGATGGATAATTGACTGGTAGATTTACTGTATATGGATATTTTCTGAGTTAATAAATAAAGCAACATGCTGACAAACTGTTCAGAGGTTAACTTGTAGGTGGCACTCACTTCACAATTGTTTTAACCACACATGACATACACACGGCTCTAGCTAGCTAACACGACACATGGAATTCCTGAGAGGAATGTCATAAAAATAAGTAATATTAGCATAAAAATAAGTAAAGTTTACATCAAAATTTTTAACGTTATCTTAAAAATCAGTAACGCTAGCATATAAGTCACGTAAGCATAAAGAAATAAACAATGTAACGTTAGCATGACTGAAGTTAGATGCACAGAAGCCAACTCATTGTGGATGCTACTGTATATCATTACGAGATTTAATGGTATTTCAACCCCCGTGTGTACATTTATAAACAGCATATAAACACCTAAGTTTTACCAACGATCGTTCATGCAAACAGGAAATTGGCATTTATGTTTTTCTAGTTGGCGATCTCTGATAATGTGCGTTGCCATCTTCGATTAGGCTGTCGCCATGTTGGTTTTTTTCACAACCAATGAACAGAAGTTACCATATTTGGAATGCGGAGGAGTGACGTAGAGACGCCGTATACGGCTCTGGTAGCAGCAGCGACCTGTCAATCACAGTAGCCCCGCCCTAAAGCATACCCTGCTTTATGATCTATTTGACTCTAAATGGACCATAATTTACTAAATGAACATCATGCTGTATTGAAGAAGACTTGAAACTAATGATTGAGACCATAAACTCATGTTTACTGAGGTAATAAATAGAGAGAAGTAGAGTCATTTTCTCATAGACTTCTATACAATCTGACTTTTTTTTTCCCGTCGATAAAATGCATGTTTGAAGACACTTCGGCATCGGCTTCACTCAGCAGAATCGAAGGTTGCCGCCTGATGCTGAGCCACTTAAAGACTGTGTGTGTGTGTGTGCTCACCTTGTAGATGTGAGCCTTCAGGATGTGATGTCCTAGCTCCAGCGTCTCCTGTCGGTTCAACTTTCCTTCTTGCCGGCAGAGCCAGAAGGCCAGGAGAGTGTGACCGCTCCTGGAGAGAGGAGAGACAAAACAGACAGCTTAGGTGAAGACGTCCTCTTTTCTTTTTCCACTCTCTCACGCTGTCCGTCGGTGTACCTGGGGTCGCAGAGGAACCTGTCTTCCTGACCCTCCTCTCTCCACATCAGCCACTCCCTGAAGGAGGCGTGGTTCAGCATCCTGCTGCCGTCGCTCCGCCGCAGCAGGAAGGAGGAGAGCTGCTCCAGACGGTGTGTAAACTCCCCCCAGTGCAGCGTCCCTCCGGTCAGAGCACCCGCGTTCACCACCTCAAACAGCTGGAGGAGGATTCAAGGATCATTTGTTGTCATTATGCAACACAGGGGACACACAACAAAGACGCAGTTGTAGCCCATTTGCAACACAAGAAAAGCATGACAAAGAAAACAAAATGAAAACAGTAGTGCATTTTTGGAATTTGCAGTCACATTTCAAGTGTATTCATATTCCATTTTCAATATCTCGAAGATATGTCAACAAGGCTTATGGTGTGTTCACACTTAACGGGAAGAGGAACTTTTCACGTGGCATGATTACATACAAAGTCAATAAAAAAAAAAAGAAGAGGATGTCACTTGTGTACAGATTATAAAGCCCTGTGAGGCAAATTTGTGATATACAAAATAAATTGAATTGAATCCTGTTGTCCCTGAAGTCCTGACATTGTTGAATCAGAACGGGTCAGACCAACTTTAACCAAAAGTCTACAGCCATTCTAGCAGATCTGTGAGGCTGTACTCTGGCAAAGCAATGCTTTCAGCTCAATGCTAACATCAGCATGCTAGCACGCTTCCGATGACAATACTTGCATGCTGATGTTTAGCAGGTTTAATGTTAAGTGCTGATGGGAATGTCATTCGTTTGGCAGGCATTGGGTCTGAAACAAATTGGACAAATAAAAAGTTTGACGAGATGATGGCGTTGGAGGAAAAGTTAAGGTTATAGCAATGTAATATACACACACACACACACACACACACACACACACACACACACACACACA